CCATAACACTAAAGTTCACAATTTGGTGAGTTCACAGAAATTTGTATCATCTTAAAATGAGCTATATTTAATTTTATATGGATTTTACAAGTTTTAGGTACTTTCCTTTTATAATTTCAGATTTTTGTTTCCAAGGGGTCCACTGTCAGTGAAAGATCAATATACAAAAAGATCCCTGAGGTTTCTAAGAATCAACCCGCAGACCTAGCCTCATATGTCAGTGAGTTGAAAAGTTGCACATTAAACCTTATAGTTGTTTAAATTCTCGAAACAAGGTCCCTGACTTCTTTTCTCATGCACAGAGGCAGAACAGCCATGGCTGAGCTCGATCTCGAGCTCACCGGCGACAAACGATGGCTCGTTTGGGGGTGCAACCAAAATACAAAATGAAGATCATGTTATTGCGATTCCATTCCTCTACTTTTCTCGGTCAGTGGACATCGGAGTAACGCCGGCGGCGAGTCCGAAAGGAGGATGTTTTCGGGTGGTGATGCATGTGCTTCTACAATCATGTATTGGTTAATTGGGTGCATGCATGTATGTTCTATAGGCTGAAGGGTGCTCACCGAGATGGTAGACATGGCTGGGGTAGCTAGGTTTATGACGGTGGCTCGTGTAACGGCTCGGCGGCGGCAAGAACCTCCGGGTGAACGGCGATGGCTCAATCAGCTCCAAGAACTATCATGCATGTGTGTCCATGAGGTTAGAGAGGCCCCAGGGATGCTACTGATGCATGGAATTGGGTTGGTACTCACCGGAGGGGGTGGATTCGGCAACGGCGACGGTGACCGGAGGTGGAGAAGACGGTGGACGATCTCCACACTCGTAGCACCATCCTTCGAGATTCTTGAGGGGAAATGGATAGGAGGTCGAGGCGAAGACGCTGGCGCGACAGCTTGGCCCGGCTTGGTGCAGATAAGCGGGAACGGCGATGATGTCGCTGCGGCGGTGCACAGAGCGCGCTCTAGAGCGACCATGACATGGCGGCGTTCCCGCTGCTGTAGAAGATGAAATGGAATGGGATCAAAACCAAAGTTGTTCGTCATGGTGAGATGAGAATGGAACGAGTATGAGTTAGAGATGAAGAGGGCTCGACGACGGTTGGCGATGTCCCTCTTCTTGGCGGCCGGCGACGAAAGAGAGGTGGAGAGGGAGAGCTGGAGCTTCCTCCCTCGGTTGGATCGGCACTGGAATGGTGGGTGAAGAATGGCGACGCAGCTGGGTGGAGGTGAAGCCTCGGTTCAGCGCTGCCACGTCGAGGCCACGCGTCGTACACAGCCGGCGCCAATCTCTCTCTCTCGGCTGTCTTTGGTCCGGCTGGAAGATTTGCACAGGGTGAGGACGAGCCAGAGTGGCTGCCAAGTGGGTCCAGGTCGTGGCAAACTAAGCTAGGGTGAGAGGGTTGGGCAGAAACGTGGGTGAACAAAAGGTTTGAATGATTTTAAGGATTATTTCTCTCTCCCACTTTAGTATTTCAAGTATTTAATTTGTGGGTAGAATAATTTAGTGTGGATTTTTCTGAAGGTAGATGAAGATACCTAGATTCCATTTTCTTTGGTTGCACTCAAAAATTATGGATTGATTACTCACAGAAATTAGAGGAATATGGGTTCTTTGGAAAATAGCTCGAATTTTTAGGAGACCTAAACAGAGAAGATAAATTCTGGAAAAATTATTTTTATTCATGATAAATGACCTAGTATTTGAATAAATTATTTTACTTATACACTTTTATGCAGTTAAATGCACTTTTAGACAAAGTATGGTTTTAGCCGATTAAGAACTACAGTTAATCTAGTTTTTATTAGTTTGACTGATTTATTTGAGGTACCAAATTTAGTTATTAAATTATACCAAAATTACAGTGAGTTGTATGTGTTGATTAGAGCCTACATGAATTTTCCCATGATTTTATCTTGCATGAATTATTTTAGATAATTCGCAGGACTTATGTCTTATATGTGTTTCTCTTTCCTAAATGCATGTAAATGTTTATAAAAGTTATATTTGGACTCTCATTAACATGAGGTGATGTTGATATGTTAGAATTACAGTTTACCTTACACATGTCATAAGCTCCTTCCCTATTTATGCCTAAGTTTACTTTAGTATTAAATTAAGAGAATGCTTATAGAGATGATTAAGATAGAATATACCCTATATGATATAATTTATTTGTTCACTTTCATGTTCATGACATGTCTTCAGATGGATGTCCAAATTAGTTTTGTGAGGCTTGACATTATCCATGTTGATTTTTTTTTAAGGTGTATGGTTTCTGTGTATTATTTTCCATTAGTTAGCACTAGGCCCTAATGGTTTAGTTGTTTGTCTAGATTGCAATTATATTCATGAGACCTATTATGAAATGCAAATCGAAAATCCAAATGCATATGAAGGACTCAAGTCAAAATATGATTTATGCAAGTATGCATGCTTTCACTTGGGTTGCATCCAAGTCCTAGGTTAAAGATGAAAAAGTTTTTAATTTGTTCTCAAATTTTATTCTTGCAAGAGTTGGATCAACTCCAACTAGGTTTAAAATAGAAATTTTTGGTTTACAAAATTGAAGAACTTCCCTTTCAACTAGTTTTGATGGAATTCCTTAATCCTAGAATTCAGGTATGTTACACATTAGCGTTCAAAGGTAAGTAAAAAATTATACAACCACATTACGTAATCAAGAAATCAAGTAATAATTTCATATAACTAGAATGGAACAATGCTTAAGATGTGAAAAGAGTTTCATACTATGATTTAGTAGTCGTTGAAACTTATATTGCTTATAGTTTTAGGCTCAATCAACGGGTTTTTTTCACCCACGGGTTGGTGGGTATGGGTGGGTAAAGAATGGACCCATACCCACGTACCCAATGGGTAAGAGTTTTGCCCATTAGTATACCCATGGGTACAAGAGTTAGAACACAATTAGATCCTAATAGAGTAAAAACCCGTCGGGTCACGGTTTATGGGTCCCCATTGCCATCTCTAGGCGCGGCCTGAGGAGGCTGGGGCGGCTTGGGCCGGGCAGGAAGGAGGGAGGGGAGGGGGCGGCCCAGAAGGAGGAGGAGAGGAGGGAGTGGGCCGGGAGGGGAAGAGGAGGCCCAAGAGAAAGAGGGAGAGAAAGAGAGGGAGGAGAGAGGGACTTCGGCCGCGGGCCGAGAGGGAGAGGGGAGAAACCTTGGGCCAGACTTGGCCCAAAGGGAAGGAGAGGGTTATTTTTAGGTTTTTCTTTTTAATAAACTCTGATAATTGTTTTTGTTGCTTAATAATTATTTCCGGTGCTCTGAAAATTCAAGTAAAATTTGAGGGCTCCTTTTAGACCAAGGAGAATTTAACAAAAATTCTCCGGGCCACATTTGAATTTTTCTTGTACGTATTTTAGTGTTTGCCAATTTCTTTTCGAATTTTAATTAATTCTATTATTCCTTTTAGAAAATGATTTTTATTTTGAGATGGATTTATCAGGACGTGACAATAACGGCGAAGATTGATAACATAAATATATGTAATACAATTGTATCTTTAGAACTAAATAATGGTATATAGAGGAGTATAGTGACAACGTTTGATGAGAATTCTAAATATTATAAAAATAAAATCCAACGAGATGATAAACTCTAAAAACGATAAGGTCCAATTTTTAAAGGTTCGGGACTTCTAAAGAGTAAAAAAAACCAATGATATTAATGTTTGATTTTAAAATCTCAATGACAATAAAGAGAGGATGGAGCATGCGAGCCATAGAATAGTATAGTGGCAAAGCTGTTAACGGTTTGGCGGGACTTCTAGAAAGTTAAAAAATAAACCCGAACAATAATTATGTTCAATTTTTAAAATCTCAATGACAATAAAGAGAGGAGACAGCAGGCGGGCCGTAGAAGAGTATAGTGGCAGCGTTTGATGAGACTTCTAAAAATTATAAAAATGAAACTCAATGAGACAATAAACTCTAAAAACTACCATGTCCTATTTTTAAAGGTTCGGAACTTCTAAAAACAAAAAAAAACAACGATAATAATGTTCAATTTTAAAATCTTAATGACAATAAAGAGGGGAGGCAGCAGGCGAGACGTAGAACAGTATAGTGGCAAAACCACTAACGATTTGGCGGGACTTATAGAAAGTAAAAAATGAACCCAAATGATAACTATGTTCGATTTTAAAATCCCATTGATAATAAAAAGAGGATGTAGCGGATGGGCCGTAGAGGAGTAGAGTAGCAACATTTGATGAGAGTTCTAAAAATTATAAAAACGAAACCCAATGAGACAATAAACTCTAAAAACTACAAGATCCAAATTTTGAAGTTTCTAAGGAGAACGAGTAGAAATAGTGGTAGATCGAGTAATCAAATAAAGAATAGGGTGACTTAAAAATTATAAAATTAAACACGGGGTGATATGGTTTGGTTTTTAAAAGTCTTAAAATAACAAGATAGAGAATGAGTAGAAATAGTGGTAGATCAAGCAAGCAAATTAAGAATAGGGTGACTTTTAAAAACTATAAAATTAAACACGGGGATGATATGGTTTGGTTTTTAAAAGTCTTAAAATAACAAGATAACTATTAAATAAATTTTAAGTAAAATCATATTAAAAATAGATAATTTTATATGGATTCTAGCCGCGCAATTGCGCAGGCCACCAGCTAGTTGAGGTGAAGTTACAGCAAGAATCAAGGGAAAGAAAATGGGACTACCTATTGATCTTTTCAATAGATTCGAAGTTTTAACTTTTGAATCTTGCAAAATTTTGAACCAATGGATATAGCCCCTTTTTTAAATAAAATAATAATAATAAAAGAGACAAACATGTCAAAAAATTGTAAATCTAAGATACAAAATCAGTTGTAAAATCTAATTTTGTTAGTGCAAGTGCACTGCAACTGAGTGTAAGTGTAATAAGTAACTGAGTGCACTGCAACTTCACTTCAAAAATCTGCCACAAGTGAAATAGCAAAAAATTAAAAAGAAAACTCCAAACTAACGAAGCCAACAAAGAAAAGAAGAATAACATGTTGGTTGAATTGCCATCGACTATGTCATCATGTTCTGTTCCTTTTGGTTTCCGTCTGATCATAACAAATCATATACACAATTGCCAAGCTAGAACTTCACCAATCGTGATTAATCGCTTACTACAATCTGAATCTACATGATTATAAACGTGCCTGCACTGCAAAATGCTATCTGCCGTCCTCCTCCATCAACGTGACGTTGCTCATGCAGTACGACTCGCCGAAGGAGCTGGACGACACGGCCAGGCTGGAGATCCTGACGTTGAAGTACGCCGGCTGCCTCGGCTCCGGCATCGTCACCCCCTCGCTGCCGAGCATGGCGATCACGTCGGACATGTTCGGCCGGTCGTCGGCGCTGTCCTGGACGCACAGCAGCGCCACCTGCACGCACTTCATCACCTCCATCGCCGGGAAGTCCTCCCCCAGCGCCTGGTCCACCAGCTCGTGCCATTGCCCTTCTTGCCATAGCTGGTACGCCTGAAAGAAGTTCAGAAGTTTTCAGTTATTAGCGGCCGTGCATTTTCAGGTGAATTTCAGTCTTTCAGGGTAACTGAAATTTGTGAATTTTGGATGTCAGAGATTTGTGCTTACATATCCTGTGAGATTGAAGAATTTGCCGTACTGGTAGAATCCGGCGGTCCTCTTGCCGCTTATGATCTCGAGAAGCAGGACACCGAAGCTGAACACGTCGGATTTGATCGAGAAGAGACCCTCAGAAGCATACTCAGGAGCGATGTAACCACTGAATAAAAAAGCACAAAATTCAGTCATTACAACATCATCAATGCATCCGACTGTAGCTATCACTAATTCTTTTCTGACACAACAAAAACACATGTGCTGTGTAACTTGACCATCATCGGTGATTAGTACTTACTGTGTGCCCACAACCCTGGTCGTGTTGGCTTCTGTCACATTCGAGCAGAATATCCTTGCCATTCCAAAATCCGAGATTTTGGGGTTCATCTCCCGGTCGAGGAGTATATTGCTTGCTTTCAGATCCCTGTGAATAACTCGCAACCGAGAGTGCTTGTGCAGGTAAAGAAGCCCCTGGGCAATGCCATCGATTATACGGAAGCGTTTGTCCCAGTTCAGCATCGCCCCCTTTTCAGTGTCTGCATATCAATACGTCAGGCAAGACAAAAGCATCAGCAACATTCAGCAGGTTTGCACAAAGATTTTGGAAATGGACAGAGAGAAGTTGAAAGCCTATTGATCGAGATGGATATGTGAGTGATTGTACCAAAGATGAAGCAATCGAGGCTCTTGTTGTGCATGTACTCGTAGATGAGCATCTTCTCGTCAGCCTGGACGCAGCAGCCCAGCAGCCTGACCAGGTTGGTGTGCTGCAGCTTGGCTATCAGCTGGATCTCTGTCTTGAATTCCATCAGCCCCTGCACTGAACAGGATGAGAGCCTCTTGATCGCTATCTCAAGCCCATCAGGCAATTGACCCTGAAACATGTAAGAAAAGAAAACACAATTTAGTAAGTAGTCAGATGAACTGAAAACTGAAGAAACACTGAAGAGTCGATCAGTGTGTCTGCAACTCTGCATCAGAATGCAAGAATGAATGGAGAAACTGTGCTTACCTTGTAGACAGGGCCGAAGCCGCCCTGGCCGAGCTTGCAGGCGTCGGAGAAGTTGTCGGTGGCGTCGGCGATCTGGTCGAAGTCGTAGAGCGAGAACTCGGAGCCGCTCTCCTCGATCCGCCACAGCTTGAGCACCTGCTCCATCTCCATGGACATGGTCGGCACGCTCACCGTCCCTGCCATGTTGATCACTGATTCAGCTGACAGTTAGTGAAACCTACAGTTAACCGGGGCAGTGAAGCATGGGCGCGAGCAAGGTGTCAGCAAATGCCCGTGCGCACCTCTCCTTCTTCGCCTCCTGATCCAGAGGAAACATCCCAAGAAGCCGAGGAGGAGCACGGCGACGGGGACGACGATCGCCACGATCCACAGGCCACCGCTGCTGCTGCTCCCTGCGTGCAAACATTGCAGAAACTGCCACTGTCAGATCCATGGCCCCAACTTTTCAATGCCCATCCAATGCTACGAATTTTCGACAGAAAAGATCATGCATGCGTTTTTTCCTGTACCACTACAAGGTTTTCATCACCAGAGTTTGATTCGGTTCTGTCTAACTGGAAATCCCGACTAGTAGTCGCAAAAGGGGGAAAACGATCGATGAACGTGTGATGTGACAATATTCTCGATTTCGACAACGATGAGATGACAACTACGTAGGCGCATGCGACGCAGGTTCGTAGTTAGCACGGATGATGCTGATGATGATGAGCATCACCATCGGTTTTGGGCGGTAGGGACTGCTCCCGTAGTCCCAAATGGCAAAGGCGAAACCGTGGTTGGCTGGACGGTAGTGGAACGGGGCCCCGCTCGGTCACCGGCAGGCGCGCGCGCGGTGGACGACGAAGGCGACGACCGAGAGAAGGGAAGGGGGATTCGTCAAACACCGTGGGTCTTTTCTCTTTCCGCCGGCTAAATATCCCAAGTAAGCTCGGCGCGGGAGGTCGCCGTCGTCGGCCGGGACGACGACGACGACGACGCGACGTGACATTCCATAGAAACGAATCATGGCGAGCAACTTCACAGCGAAGCAAAGCAGCAAAAACGAACTACTGCAGCTGCGGTACTAGTGAAATGGCACGTTGCCTAGTGGTTGCAGTGATCTGAGTAGCATCCTAAGGTCCTGAGTTCTAAGTCTTCATATAGAACGAATTTCAGATTGGAATATTTGAGGGCTAAGTTCTCTGTTTGATGGGCTAAGTTCCAATTTAAAAAGACTATATATATCTGGTTGGATGCAGAGGCCGGATAAAAATTACCCTCTTCTAATAAAAATATAAAAAAACTGCCGCACTATACAGAGGTACAAATTCTCTCTTGTCGCACACTAGGCAGATGCATCTGGTATCTGGAGGCATGGGGGAGGACCATGGCTGTGCGCTGTGCAAATGCAGGGACGACGGTGTCTGAGGCAGCCGGTGGCCACGGTGACCGACCGTGGAAAGTGCAGGGAGAAAGGGGAATCGAACAAATCGGCGGAGATAGATATTCTACTGCAAGACCAGCTTGTTTGCAGTGCTCCGTACTTGGCAGTAGCATCGCGTGACGCACGTGGATTCGCTTTCGTGTGTCGCTGGAACATCACTACTAGCTGTAGCTGCCTACGAGGGGCAAGAGATCGATCGTGTGAAAAGAACACAGCTAAAAAAGGGTTAAGAAAACCAATAGTACTATATTCATATACAAATCTCGTTGCTGGCTAGCTAGCTAGCACCCCGTCTCATGGCGGATTTCTGAACAAAGCAGGGGGGCATGCATCAGCATGCACATTCATGTTCTTGAGATGGAACACGTTTGATTGGGAATAAAAATGGACACTATACTGCTCATGGCGCCCCATCTAGTCAAAAACAAACTACATCGATCATGTGTCGTTCGAGACGCCCAGATCTCCTGTTCCGTAAAGATTTAAAAAAAAACATTTTTTCCCTGCATTTCCTGGACCCCGTACGCTCGATCGATTCCTCTTCACATGGGAAAGCTCTACAAGATGGAATATTTTTCTTGTGGAGAAGGGGACAGGAGCACACCGAGAGGGTAAAACAATGAGCAAGACGGAGACATTAAAATATCAGAAAAAAAAAATGGCCCTACCCAAGTGTCTGGATTGGGCAATGGGTATTCTCCAAGAGTTTAATAAACTAATAAACACAAAAGGTGTTTGGATTGAGGAAATTTGATGGTCGATTCGATCATCCATTTGACATCATTTTAGAACCCTTTTCTTTTTCTCAGATCTTGAAAGGCAAGACTTTGATCGATCAGCTGTCACGGCTCCGGGTCGTAGAATATATTTGCAGCCGGAACTAATACTCGTGGCCAGCAAACAATTCGTTTCTATAGGCTGATGTGGATTGGGGAATTCTTTTTATGGACAGGAAAGTCAAGCGGGTCCTACTTTAAGATAAGCACGCATAACAAATGATGCAAGCATTGTGCATTGACACAGAGTATTTTTTTTCCCCCAAGTGTGTGAATTTTGTTAAACTCAATAGAAGGTTGTGTTATTTATTATACTGATTGATTTATCAAGTTGGGTATGGAAAATTTGTTGACATTTCTGACAGTATATATTTTGTCTATGTATTATGTCCTATACCCTGCAAACTTAAGAAAAGTTGTTGAAGTAGCGTTTTTTTCATCCTTGGCTTACAAATTTGACCATTTATTTAGCATACAAGTTGTTGATTAGCTATTGTGTAGTGTAGTATACCTAGATGAACAACGATATTGATGCACCAAATTATTTAATTAAGTTGGAACCTAATTCCCTTAATCATATGATCAAGAATTAACGAACCGTTATGCATCATAGAAAAGAAAAATGCTGTTTCATATAATCATCACAACATCTTCTCGTTTAACACGAGTATACACAATGTTCCTCCCTAATAAGGAAAATAATAAACTTTGCAAAATGTAATCACTGTCTGTATAGATCTGTTGCTTAGATAATTAATGCCCTTTAAAGTCATATGGATATAGTTTAGCTTACAAAAATTCAACGATGTTCCCATTCAACAAAAACTAATCAAGCATATGAAATCAACACACTACATACTACTTATAATTTAAAGGAAAAACAACTAGCTACTCACGTGAGAACTCAACACTACTAAACCATCAATTAATTTACAGAGGAGGAAAGCATATATATAGTTTGTGAAATCAAATAACTCCATCCCATTTCAGAAAATGCAAATGCCCTGTACAAATCAAAGGAGCAAGCAATTGATACTAGCTAACTGGTAACGGCAGTGAGGCCTTGAAAATTGAATTGAGGGTTAAAAAAGAAAAACAAAAACAAGACTACTAGAAGTCCATTGATATGATCGATGAACTGGGGGAATGAATTCATCTCTAAATTTAAACCGAATGCATCAAATTTCAAAATTTGTGAGAGGATTTAATTTAGGACTAACCTTGTGACGACGGATCCGGGAGCGGGCTAAGCACCACCATGTCGTTGGGGATCTTGAAGAATGGATCCTTCTCGTACCTGAAGTCGCAGCGCACGCCGAGGATCCTGCCGCCGACGCGGCCGCTGAACCACTTGGGCATCTGGTCGATGATACCGGCGAGGCAGCCCCGGCACTGCGGCGGCGACAGGTCCGGCGTGCACTGCGCGATGGCGTACACGGTCATCGCCTCCGGCGCGAACCCGGCCTTCCCCGCGGCGTACCTCCTGGTCGCGTTGCTCGCCCTGTCGGCCACCGCGTTCACCAGCTCCGCCACCAGCGCGTCGAACGCCGCGACGTCGCCCGCGTCGGAGACGTTGTTCATGTTGAACGCGGCCGTCTCCGGCTCGTTGGCGGCGCCGGCGCCGGCGCCGGCGAGGAAGTCCTGGTCCGAGTACCGGAGCTGGTACTGGTCGTAGTAGACGGCGACGTCCTTGCTGTACAAGCAGCTGCTCGCCGCCTGCTGGAACGACGACGCCAGCCGCGCGGCGGAGCAGTCGTTCCCGGTGAAGTCGCCGCGGCAGAGCAAGAGGCCGTACGCCGTGTCCGGCGCCGCGCCGAACGCCCCCGCCGCGTAGCCCGACGCCGAGGCGTTCCTGGACAGCACGGCGAAGAGGCCGTTGAGATTGGCCTCGAACGTGCTGTTCGGCAGGTACGTCCGCCTGGCCGCCGTCGTGTTACAGAAGGAGGAGATCGGGTTGAGCACCGGCAAGGCGCCCCCGCCGTCGCCGGCCACCGGCGCCGGCGAAGAGACGGCGGCGGCGGCGGCGAGGAGGAGCAAGAGGACAAGCATGGTAGGTTGCTAACCGAAAACACTTGGGAGTTGGGACCGGGCTAACGTTGTTTGCTTGCTGTACATGGAATGGAATGGCTAAGCCTAAAGAGAGAGTGACACAAAAGCTATTCTGCTCTCATTGCTCCAGTGGTTTGTATATTATAGGGGGGCATCAGGATTAAGCTAAGTTAATTAGGGCTTAACTAAGATTATATTAGGATTATGGCCAGGTTGATTAGTGCATGGTTGCTTCAGCTAGGATGACAGTGACAGTATGCTAGCTTGAGCTTGAGGGGGTTGACCTGTTGCAAAGCCTGATAGGCTGAAGCAAGCTGCAGCTAGCCAGCAACTGATGGGGATTGGAGGATGAAATGAATTTGAGAATTTTGGCTGTACTTGTGTCTGTACTCTCTTTAGGTTTTTTTTTTTTTTTCTGGCTGGTTGAGCTGCTCCGTTGCTCATGGTTTTCAGAGTTGTTTACAATGGATGCTTGATGAGATGAGTATGGAGGGACGTGTCAGTTGAGTGTTTTTTTTTTTTAAGTAGTAGGTGTGTGTACAGCATTTGAGATCTATAGTTCAAGCTGTTATGGATATCGTTTTGAGTACATCAGATCATCGGGGCAATGTTTGTCGCCAAAAATAATTGACTAGTACCTTTTACCTACTATACTAAGTATTATCACCAGTAGGGTGATCTCAATTTTCAGTAAGAAAAAAGAATCCACTACCAGTATAAATAAATAAGATCCATTGAATTATAAAAGATAATACTTAATTCAGTCTATACTGATTTCGAGATAGTTGTTGTTGTAAAACATCTTAAAATTGAATTTCCGATAATCATCTCTTTATTTTCTCAAAAACTATTGTATTTTGGATAGGCACTTGTTATGAAGTGTAAATTGCCAACCGATCGAATTTGAATTGGATAGAGGTCTTACCATATTTATCTTATATTTCCGAACAGGTATATATGATGGCATTTCAATATTTACTACTCCATTATCAAGTTATTAACACAAATGCAATGTTGTAACAAACATGAATTCAAATCCAATATCTGTGTAATTTGGTAAGCTCATACAACTACAGTTAACCATCCATCATGCAACTACAAGCAACCAAGCAACTGCTTCTATATATATTTTATTTGCGAGGTGCTTCTATATTTACTTCACATGATCAAAATATGAATTCATGTTAAAATTATTAAGATTGATCTAAATTGTTTAGAAATATTATGTAAAGCATCCTATTTTGAATGTTGAAACCCCATACATATTCAAATACATAATTTTCACTTGGTTTCAACTACAAATATTATGTAAAGAATGATGTTCTCTTAAAACAGCAAATTCTTGATTGGTTACAACTCATTTGATTTAGGGATCTTGTTTTTACCTTTGTAAATATTATGTAAATATTTTCTTTAGTATAATATAACTATTAGGCAAAGCCTTGACAGTATTTTGGTAAAAAAAAATAAAGAACTACAAATACCATCGGGGGAGAATTCACACCATTGTATGTATTTTCCTCCTATATTCGTTACTCTCTCTAGATCCAGATATTGGATAATTCGGAACCAATTGATGCCCCAAATTAGGCTCCATTAGAAACACATGAATTTTCTTTTGTCTAAAGGTGAACACATTAATTTCACAAGAATGTTTCAGTTTCCCAGTAATTGGTATGAATTTTCCAATGTTCCGTTCAGAGCTTTATTTATATCTGTCTATCTGATTAGTCGTTCTTTCGTGTACAAGCTAATAGCCATTTTAATTAGAAGTGTTAATATCTGCAGCTTAGATCTACTCGACTGTGTTAGGTAGCTGTTGCAGATTATCAAATTGTAATTTCTCGATGACTCCATTTGATAAGCGGGTCTCTGATCAGATTTGGCAGCTTCTGGCTACAGCTAGTAGATGCTGGATTGCCTGTGTCCTCTGCTCGATCTTAGTGTTTTTCCAGATTGAACTAACATGCGTGATAAATTATTTGTGGATCGAAAACATTCCGCTAGTATGTACAATGCACCTGGTTTTAGTACTCTGAAAAAAGATTTTGAATTCTAGATATTTTAGGTCACTAGATCTGTTCAGAAAAAAAAGATGGCTTGATCTAATAGCAACAAATTCCGCTATAATGCCCTATCACCTGCCCATGGTATAATTCATGAGAAATATTTACTTCCGAGAGGAACCATATTTTTCAGTGTAAATTCTACTGATAACTCATCAATGTTAAGATTAGTTAGTATAAACAAACACTAAGTTACGATGTCTATTGGTATCTCCTCGAGTACCATAAAAATTATTGGAGTATCATTCAATCAGTAGCACGACTCGATATTCTATATGTTTATATGTTAATAATTGAGTGAAGTGTATAAGCGGTTCCTAAACTTAAGTGAGTGTGTCATCTAGATATCTGAACTCTAAAAATGTATTTTTAGGTCCTTGAACTTGTCTTGGGTGTCATATCAGTCTAACCAGGCTCCAACCCAGTCCATGTGTTGATGTAGCATTACCACGGTGACGCCTATATGCTAGTCGGATCCACATACCAGTTACATAAACAAATTTAAAAAATATATTTTCTCCACTCTACCTTAGATTATTTTTTAATTTTATCTTTTTTCTCTCTACCTAAGAGGAGAAAAATATATGGTTTTTAATTGTATTTTATATGACTAACATGTGGGTCCCACTGATATGTAGACATCATCGTGGTATTGCCATGTTAGCAGATGGAGCGGGTTAGAACCTGTTTAGACCTATATGACACCCAAGACAAGTTTAAAGAGCCATAAAAGTATTTTAGGAGTTAAAAATCTAAATGGCACACACCACATAAATTTAGAGATCGTCCCCATGTACTTCACTAATTAGAGGGCAACATCAACAAATTCTTCTCATTCTATTAAGAAAGCAATTGGTTGTTGGATCCTTCTAGCTAAATCCTACTACTATTATACTTTCGGGTTGTTGTGAGCAACCGATCGTGAGAAAGGGGAGCAACCGATCGTGAGAAAGGGGAAAATACGGCAGGATCAGCTGCCCTTTTCTGTACTTGTGCTACATGCCTGCCTCATATCTTAAAACTGAGTTATAATTGACCATGTGCTATGTTTTTATATTTTAGTTAGACATTACAGCCTGAGCTATCAGTCTGCATGCATCGGATTCTGTTCCCAAAAGTAGAAGAAATATATAAGTTAGTTCACTCTTGAAGAAATTTTTCATGCTGATTCATGCACATTACTTGTACAAACTTGAGGGAGGGACAGCACGCAACATTTTTCAAGCTCTAACTGCAAATGCTATCTCGAACCATTAATTTAAAATGACTCCTTTTAATATTTCCCTTTGATCATATCATTGTGAGTTGGTAATTTAATTGGTATCAGGTTCTTAAGTCCTGACCTAAAGTTTGTATTGTGAATTTATTTCCTTGGTGATGGATGATGGGTTAAGTAGTCAATATAGTTGGTACTTGGCAGAAAAGTTAGTTTTTGGTTTCCATTAAAATTATTATTAATTAGGTACTAAAAAAAGATTCCTTATGGCTAAGGATTACATGAAGAGAAGGACAGTTCAATGGTCTTCCAGAACGTCTCCCTATATTTTTCATGTAAAATATAAAAAAAGCCCACGCAATGCAATATCTCATTGCATTACCTCACACCAAGATAACTCCACACTAATTGAATCTTTTGTAACCGCTTAATTTCACGCGCTGGCATGCATGCGCCAAGACTTTTTTGGAGTGAAAAACAAGAAATATTGCATTGCCAAGTCAGCTTGCACAGTAAAAATGACTACAACTTGACGATGCCAAGTCTTCATATGGGATAATTCTGAAGGAAAAACGATCTAGTACTAACTATCAAAGTTCTGCCTGCCTGACATGCAGGTTGCTACAGTATTTAGTACTCCCTCCATTCATATCGTAAGTAGTTTGATCTTTTTACTAAGTTAAACTTCTTATCTAGTGTATAGAAAAATATAGTAGTATTTTAAAAAAAATATTATCAGAATATGTTCAATGTTAGATTTAATAAAACTAATTTGATATTTTAGATGTTGCTAAATTTTTTTATAAACTTGGTTAACCTTAACGAAATTTGACAAAAAAAAGTCAAACAACTTATAATATAACAAAATTTGACAAAAAGAGTCAAACTACTTATAATATGAAACGAAGAGAGTACAACTTACGTAATTAACATTTGACAAATTTTATGTTTCATTTATATGAGAATACGAGCTTTCATATTAATATAGTAGAAAAAAAATTATAAAGCTATAGCCTTGTAATGCTACAATTAGAAAAATAAAAAAGGCACATCAGACGCCCACAACATAAACACCCACTACTATAAATAAATAAGAGCACGATATCCACGCAGTCAACTCCATCCACATCTTTAGATTGAAAAGGGAGAGTGTGAGAGAGAAAAGTGGATCCACTCTCCACAAGGCCTACCAACGTGGCCAATTTGTGATGACTAGGACATCGCCACAAGAGAACACCGTCTAGATAAGAGTTTGGCCAGAAATTGACCTCCAAACATCCTCTCTTGAGAGGTTGCGACGCTGATGGTGTTGTTGTTGCGCAACTTGGGAAACAAGGGTGTGGTTTTCACCTAAGGATTTGTAACAGCCCACCATCCAGAACCGCGCAGTCCAGCTCGTCTGACGGATGGACTCACTTACACATACCATCTCATTTACAATTTCATCGTTGCTTCGTACGTGCTAAAGGGTAACCTGGTGAAAGCCTAGTCCGACCACTTAACTACCAGAAGCCCCCACCCTGCGAGCACCTTTGGTGCACAACCATCGACCAGCGCCATAACACCAACCAGTAAACACAAGCAGGAGGCTGCGGTGTAGGAGGGCTGCCTTCGTGCTTCCCTACACAAGTCCAACCATCACCACCACCTTGTGGCACTCACCTATCGTAAAGACGCCAACACCCCTCACCGGCAAGCAAGCATGAGATGAGGGGGATATAAGTTGATGCCGCCACACCCAGTCATCGTCAAAGCCGTTTCCTAATTTTAAATTTCTTGAGAAACTATATGTATATGTTAAAATTTTAAAATATATAGTATGTGGAGATACCAAGATTTACATAAAAAAATACAGTACCTTGTTAAGGATGAAAGTTACATATACCAGTTACCAGCTTGAACCTTCGCAGCATCTGGCATTTAAAACATGTACTGGTAAAGGATGCAACGGTACGAGCCTATAGAACAGATCCTGTTCAAGTAAGGTCGCATGGGCGGGGGGCGAAAATATCTCTGGCGGAAAATGCAAAGTAAACTGGAAAAGAATCTGCAGGCCCAAAGACCTGGGTGGCCTTGGAGTCATGGATCTGCAACAATTCGCATCAGCACTACGGCTCAGATGGTTTTGGAATGAATGGGTGGCGCCAGAAAAACCTTGGGTAGGGACCGCATTGCCGTGCAACCAGCTAGATAGAGACCTCTTCGTGGCCGCAACAACAATAACGGTGGGCAATGGCAAGACTGCACGATTTTGGAGCTCGAAATGGCCGGAGGATCAAACTCCGCAACAGATCGCCCCGGATATTTTCATGGCCTCTGGAAGGAAGAACAGATCAGTAAACGATGCCATAATAGAAAACAACTGGATCCGAGACATCGAAATCTCTCATATCACGGAGGCGAGCCACCTCCAACAGTATGTCCGCCTCTGGAAAATGATTAGAGACATGAGGCCACTAAACGAAAATCAAGACAACATTCGATGGAACCTCACAACAGACGGGCAATACTCTGCAAAATCGGCTTATAGACTCCAGTTCCTTGGGCTGCGCGATCCGTCTTCAACCAATCAATCTGGATGGGCGCCGCCAAAGTGCAAATTCTTCTCCTGGTTGGTCACTCAAAACAGGGTATGGACAACAGACATACTGGAGAAAAGAGGATGGCAAAACCAAAAGATCTGCCCACTCTGCTACACGGTGGATGAATCGGCCCTACACCTCCTGGCCAAATGAGGACTAACAAAGAGAATATGGGCAGAAATCTAGAGATGGACAGGCACTGACCTTCAGATGGGCAGTTGGGAAACTTGTCACTCGATTGAGCAGCGGTGAACTCTCGTAGCGGAGTCTCCAAACACCCCCCCGCAAGCCTCTTAGGACTTTGATTATTCTAATCTTATGGGAAATCTGGTGCGAACGCAATGCAAGAATTTTCCGAAACTCTGCGTCACCACCATCCTCAATTCTAGCAAAGATCAAGGAGGAAGGAAGAGCATGAGTCAAAGCAGGGGCAACAACCCTACAAGAGCTTAGAATTTTGGGAGATATCACTTAATTTCTTAATTCCCCTTTTGTGCGCTATTCGTTTTTCTTTGGCTAACCCTGTATATACCTCTGTATAATTTTCTCCTGCTCTATTAATATATACAAGGCAAAGCTTTTGCCTTCCTTCCAAAAAAAAATAAAACATGTACTTAAAAAAAGACCCACGGTTAGATTAGCTCTTGAGTCCAACGTGCAAACAAACCAAGATCTGTTCGTAATCCACGCATGCTGTATTGCAGAATGCCAGAATGAGAAGTTTGCATCCTTGGCATGATTGGTTGAAAGTTGCCTGAATTCCAAGTCAAACTCGTTAATCAGACAAACCTCTCCTTTCATCCTTTGGATACTGACATGCTAGCAGACAAGGACTGCAAAATTTCTATGATTGCTAACCTATCCTGCTGGATTTATATGCAGATTTTTTCTCCGGAGCTAAGCTTGGTCAATTTGGTGTTTGTTTCCTGAGACGAAGAGGAATTAATGCAGGATTGCCTGTCCTGTCATCCTAGACTCGAATAAAATCGTTGAAATCTGACAGCTCTATATTTGGGTCTGGATCATGAACTTACGGAATGTGTAATGTAATTACACGAGCTGCACCTCCAGCTGATGCCATGCTCATGTTGCCATCCAAAATCCTCCTCGTTCTGAAATTCTGAAATATAAAAATTCAAAAAGAATTCTTTTAACAAACTCATGGGGAATATGAGCATAGAATCTGAAATTTAGACCGAAACAGAGAATGGAAATTTGAGATTAGGAATATGTGCAAATCACCTTCAATGGCCTTCTGGCTAGTTGCGCCGTGTAACTTAAAACTCTGTATTTTTTCTAATATATATTGACGTAATCATTTTACGGGTTCGTGAAAAAAAAAACAAATCACCTTCAAATCTTCAAAGATTGGGCTGGCCAGTTTACACGAGCGGCGAGCCCACCAAACGGCCCACCAGAGCACACGGCGGCGCGGCCCAGCCCAACCACTCCCAAGGGCGGCGCGAGCGCGACCTAGCCGCCACGCGGCGAATCCTCTCCTCCCCTGCGCGGCGAATCGTGGCCGCGCCGCCACCCGTCGTCCAACGTCGCCGTCGGCGAGGGAGGCCGGCCGTCGCTCTCCGAGTACGGGCGTGCACCGGGGACCCGGGGGCTGAAATGCCTTCAGATCTGAGGTGAGATTATTCGAAAATTTCGTCTATTTTGCGAGGTTAAAGTTTAGGGATTCGAGCATTGGGTTTCCCAGCATTTTAAGTCTAATTTCCCCACCATTTTTGGTTGAAACTTGAAAGCTCCTCCTATTTTCCGATCATAAAATTGTGGAACCTGATTGGAAAGCTAAAGATGTTTTGTTGTTAAATGCTGAAGAAATTAGGGATTGATGTTAATCGGTGGCTGACAGCTCGTACTTAGATTTGAAAATTGCAGCTCTGCCTGATACTCTACCGTCCATGTTTATGCTGATTACTGTCCACTGTCTTACAGTTTGTCTACAGACAATTTGAAAAGAGAACATCATATATAGCAGTACAAAATCACACTAATCTACATTATGAAACAGAAAAAAAGATCTGAAACACATTTGGGTTAAACGCCTAAACAAAGACAAATAAATCGGATAACAGAGAAGCAACTGCATTGGACCGTCGCTTGCACCCACAAATGACATTGTCGATCCGTAGTTTTTGGATCATTCTATTGAATGGCTATGATGGGAATCCACTACTCTACCTTGCCAATGTGATACTTATACTGTTATTGCATGATGAATCATCTGAGCCACTGGATCGGACATAGAAGTAAGCTGGTTGGTTTGGTTTGGGCAATGTCATTTCCTCGCTGTTTAGCATCGTGACCACCTGATCGATAGAAGGCCTATCATCTGCCCTCTCTTGAACACATAATAGTGCCACCTGAATGCACCTTTGTATCACTTTATGGTTGTTTCCTATACGGCAACAGACCAGCTCATGCCCCTGTCCAGATCTCCAGAGTTGCCAAGCCTGTTAAAAGACAAAGGCGTATTTCTGTCAACAAAAAAGAAAAAATAATGGTTTGCAATATAGAGTATATCTGGACCAACCTGGTCCCACTGTTTGTTTCATAAAGATTATCTGGAGTACATTTTACTCACGTATGAAATGAGATTGCAAAGTTTGCCATCATAGGGATAGAAACCAGCAGTCCTCTTTCCACTTATGATTTCCAAGACCAAGACGCCGAAACTGAAGACGTCTGACTTGATCGAGCAAACCCCATCGAAAGCATATTCGGGAGATATGTAACCACTGAATTACAGTAGTAGAATTGTTATACATTACCAAGATACATGAAGTATAGAAATTTTTATATACAATTTCATAATTAACTTATATGCTTTTCCAGCAGAAAATCTCGAGTTGTTTTTAATAATATGAGGAATTGTAGTAACTAATAAGTAGACACAAAATGGACTGCTCTATGCAATTTTCTTATTAGAACATATAAAACTATGCATGTTCATTTATACTGATAGTTTCAGATGCATATTTGTACTTACTGTGTGCCTACTATTCTGGTGGTGTTTGATTCAATCATATTTGAACCAAATATTCTGGCCATCCCAAAATCCGAAATTTTTGGAGTCATGTCACTGTCCAAGAGAATATTGCTTGCTTTTAAATCCCTATGAACAACACATACTCGTGAATGATTGTGAAGATATAGAATCCCTTGAGCTATCCCATCAATTATGCGTAGACGCTTTGACCAGGTTAATTGTGCTCCTTTCACAAAGTCTACAGAATATGAATTGAGGTTATTGAAAAATTCTCAAAATAATATTAACTTCAAATTTTAGTATGTAGAAATATGGAGGCATACCAAATATGAAGACGTCCAAGCTTCTGTTTTGCAAGTATTCGTAGACGAGCATCTTTTCATGCTCTCCCTCAATACAACAGCCGAGTAACTTGACAAGATTTTTGTGTTGAAGCTTTGCTATCAGCTGAATTTCATTTTTGAACTCCAATAAACCTTGTACAGAACATGCTGAAAGTCTTTTGACTGCTACTTCAAGACCACCCGGCAACAAGCCCTGAAAATAAAGAACATTACAATTGCTACTAGAATCATATATTCAGTGGAGGATATTGTTTCTGTTTTTTTTTTATTTTGAAAAACTGACATTGGTACAATTACAATGTTGAGTGCCACATTATCTTGTGACATTGGGTAAGTATGGATCTTGCATACACTAATGTTTTTTGAAAAAGGAAAATGGAACTATAGCAGAAATAATCTGATTAAAAACTAAAAATCATTTAAAATATACAGATAAAAATAAATAAGTTGAATATCAATGCAAGTAGCCAAGTATATAATTTACCTTATAAACAGCTCCAAAACCACCTTGCCCAAGTTTGTTTTCCCTTGAGAAGTTTTGTGTAGCTTCTTTTATCTGAGAGAAATCATACAATGAAAACCCTGAGTTCCCTTCTTCAATCCTCCAAAGATTTATTACATTCTGTACTGCCATCGACAGCAATCGTAGTTCAAATCTTGCTTGTTCTGAAAAAGAAAATAGTGAAGCAGTCTATTCTTGTCACTCATATAGGCTCTTAGCGGGCAGCTATATAATTGAATCAGATGCATATATCCTTACGCAAAGGAGAATGTTGTGAGACTAATATTTAGTTATTTACCTCTTTTTCTCTCTCGTTTGATCCAAATATGAACAAGCAACCATGAAATAGATACCATGAGGGAGAACGATCCAATTACAACCCAGATCCAAAACTTGCTTGCTGCACATCCATTGATATGAGTTATGACTAGTGGAAACAATAGGAAGGCCACACGACACTTTGAAGGTAAATATTAAACAGGGGAAGGTGAACAGTTTCTTTGGTTTTGAAATCGTTTTTGGTTGATTTTCACACGGGAATAATTGTGCATCCCAACTTAAACCCTTCCAAAAAAAAGGAGAAATTTGATAATTTGACATTTTTTTCGTTACACAGTTGCTTTAATTGACACTTGTGAGGATGACATGTAGGATCATCTGAGTGAATGAAAGTGGGCCAAGATGTCAGATAATCGAAACCCATTTATGTTAAATTATCAAATCTCTCTCAAAAAAGCATGCAGATTTTTGTTGATGGGGTAATGAAAATCATGCTTGAATGCTGAACTAATCTCATCGTTTGATTTGTTTTCACAGAGATAAGGGCATCTCAAGATGAAAGAATGTCCCTGCTGAGTAGTAATCAGGCAATGAAGACTGAAGACTAAGTGAAGACGAAAGACTGGTTGAACCAAATCAACAAGGCACAATTTATTAAAGGTGAAGGTGGGACGTACGTGTAGGCATGTGCAGCGACACCTCTGGGTCGCCGGCGAAGAACTTGACATCCGTCTGGTACCACAGGCTGCATCGCATCCCGAGCACCGCGCCACCCGTCAGGCCACCGCCGACCATCTTCTTCCCTTCGTCGATGATGCCGTCCAGGCAACTCCGGCAATTCTCCGGCGGCATGCCGTCCGTGCACTGCGCCAGCGCATACACCGTCTGGCTCTTGAGGTCGAACCACCCCCTGCCCGTCAAGTAGTTGACCGGCCGTCTACTCACCACGGCTGCAGCGATCTTCTCCATGAGCTCAGAGAAAAGCTGGCTGAACTGCGCGCGATCAGCATCCGGCGGAGGGTTCAGGTAAGCGCTCACAGTGCACTCCGGCGCGTTGCTGAAGCTGGAGATGAAATCCTTGTCGGAGAAGCTTAGCAGGGCCTGGAAATCATGGTCGTACAAGGTGACATTCTTCTGGTTCTGAAAGTAGCCAGAGTCATCGCCACTAGTTCCATTGATGCTGGCCGTGTCAAGCACTCTCTGGAGGCGGGTAGCGCAGCTCTCGGCGGAGGAGTCCCCCCGGCAGAGCACGGCGCCGTATACTGTGTCAGGACCGGCCGCCCCGGCTGTGCCGTTGGCAGAGTGCAGCTGCGTCTGGTTGACATTGGTGATCAGGTTTTTGGCGAGCTGGAGCAGGTTGGTCTTGTAGGTGCCCTCTGGCATGTGTGTGATGGTGTTCGCGTTGCTGCAGAAGGGAAGCTGTTTAGCTACCAACAGATTCGGGGTAGAGAGGAGAAGCATTAGGAGGGAAACGATCAGCATCTGCATGTTTGAGGCTTTTTCTTCTGCAGGGAGCTTGTGGAATTGTGATGCGTATGGAACATGGCTTGGATGAGTGCATATTCTTAAGTACTGTTTGGTTGGTGTCTCGTTTTGTCAGGACAAAGTTTTTAGTTTCAGTAGAACGAAAGTGACTTCGGCTCTAGCTTGGACTTTGAGTAATTTAAGTGGACTAGTCCAAACTAAACGAGATTGGAAAGTGTGGTGAAATTTCAGAGAATACTAAATTTGTCTACTGGGTTCTCTTTTGGTTGGTTTTTGTCCGAATCATCTCTGCTCTTGAGGCATTGATTTGTTGTATTATGTTTTTGAATTTCCTTGTAACGGAGTATCTCTCATTTTTCTTTTGCTTGTATGCGCAATAATTGGCATTGCCAATGTGAATGTGCAAAATGTTTGAACTGATTCTGCAGCGGGACAGAAATTCTTGACTGTTCACAGTACTTCTACCGCCTACCTTTCTTCTATTGGACTTTCTTTCTTGGCTGAAATTTCATCTGTTTAAAAATCTGCAGCCACCTGTCCGGTTCCTCATAATCTTAAACTTCACCCAAATTCTATGAAATCGTTAAACAATTTCGCACGGCCTGCTTGATCGCTTTCAGAAAGAATTCTGCCAACTTATGCTTTAATTCAACGTTGCTCACAGGTACTACTAAAGTACTATGTACAATGCTCCACTTGGGCTTCCATATGACAAACATGCACCTCAGGCACTTGCTGCGTGCAGTTCAGATATCCTAATATTCAGATGACACTGACATTGATGCTATAACAGTGATGTCACCTTCAGACGGAACTGAAAAATTTTACTCACAAAGTTCCCAAAAATATAAGCATTTTTAGGTTATCCAGAAAAGATTAGAGGTGAGAAAAAAGATTCCTATTCAGTAATATTATTGGTCAAATTTTGATTTTAAATTGCTCAGAATCCCTTTTAGGTATATGATTGGTTAAAATTTCCTTGCATTGAAATCAATATCTTAAAAATATTTATACTGTAATATAAATTTTAAATCCTAGAAATGCTTATTGTGGTAATTAATATGCTGCAAAATTCAGCTCAAAAATCGTAATATTCAGATGACACAGACGTTGATGCTAACAGTGATATTGTCACCTTCTGACGGAACTGAAAATTTTAAGCTGTAAAACTGCCGGGCTACGGACATTGGGTTTTTTTTTTCTTTTCAGATCCGACGACTTTGCCACGCGTTAATCTGTCAAGATATTCTCACCGGTTGAGTAAAAGTGGAGTAGGAAACGGTGGTAGTAGAAGTAGCTTGCCAACAGTGAGAGACCGTGCGAAATTGTAATGCACGTCGCTAACGCAGAAGAGACATAAGTGGTGTGTTGGCCCGATCGATGATTCGTTGATTCGTTCCTCTCTTCTTCACAGATGGAGATGCACAAGACTTGACTGAATAGTACCCCTTTTCATTTTTTCTTTTAATAATGAAAAAGCATCCGGTCTTTGCTTCAGGAGAAGCTGTAGCCACGACTGAACATTACCATTGGAACATAGGAAATTTTATGAGAGTTCTTTTGTAAGTTTATGTGAATTTTTCACCGGTCGACGAAGGCTGAAAGCTCTAACACTGGAGTACACGAAAATTTTTAATTCCAACCGGAACAAGACATTATATGATTTTCTTTTCGGAGTTTATGCGAAATTTTCTTTTCGACGAAGTCCTGAAATCTCTACCATTGAAATGTAAGAATTTTCTTTTAGCTCTCCAAAAGAAACGAGACTGATTTGTATGATTTTCCTTTTGAAGTTCACGTGAAATTTACACCTCGATCTCTAGATGCGAACGCAGTGAAGTCCTAGCAACCATTGGACCGCAGGAATTTTTTACACTCCGGTAGAAACTGAGACCAGCTTGCATGACTTCTCTGTGAAAGTTTATGGGGAAATTTTCACCTCTCGACGAAGGCCGAATTGAAAGCTGTGTTTATGATCACAAACAAGACTTTCACAATTGTCCATCTGGACATGACCGAAAGAAAATACTCACAACGATACTGATTTTATCTTGATTTTCGTTAGCGTATTTTTTAAACGGTTAAACGACGTGTTTAGTGAAAAACTTTTAATATGAAAGTTGTTTTAAAATATCAAATAAATCTATATTTATAATTTTATAATAATTATAGCTCAACTACTCAAGCATTAATATTCTTTTTTGTTTTACGTGTGCACTTAATTCTCGTCCGAGTGGCAGAGAAAGGAACGTGGCTTAATAAAGCAATTTTGATGGACAAGAAATGCACCTTGAAAGCGTTTAATTGGCGTTATGCAGATATTTTACATTCTTGCTAGCAACAGTTGGATAAAAAGTCGATGCTAGCCTGCCTGCTAGGGGATAGATATATATTTATCATCGAATTGAATGATTCAGATGTCACTGTTAGTTACCGGTCACCGTGTCGGGTTGCATGGGTCCAAATCCGTCGCTCTCTCCATCTCTCCCTTCCACTATTGAGACCCAAAGACTGCAGAGCAGAGAACGATGTGTGAATCACGTTGTTTTGGGTAACTAAAAGAAAAAAAAAAAAAAGGAGAGCTTCGACAGTTCGACGCAAAGCTTTTGCTCTTCTTCGAAGAGCTTTTAGCCTTTATGTTTTTGCGAACTGACCTACAAAAGCTGGTAGAAAGAGTGATAGACCATGTGGAGTAGTACGTCGTATTCGGTGTTGTATGGATGTAGCATCTTAGCTAACTACCTACATATAACTAAACTAATCGGAGTTCATTCTGAGAAAGTTCCACACTAACTTAAAAAAGGAGACCTGACCACTGAATAGATTGATCAGGGATCTTAGTCTTTAGTATAACTAGCATAGTAGCCCGCACAAACTGCGCAGCTTGCTACCAATATTTCTTATTTTCTATTCTAATTTTTCATTTTTTTTTTTCTAAATTGTATTTTTATATAGATTGTAAATTCTGATTTCAATATTTTTTATTTTTTATTTTTATAAATTAAGGTTATAAATTGTATTTCTATACAGACTCAAACGTCTACTTCTATTTTCTTTTTTTAATTCCAAATTTTAGTTAGTTCTAAATTATTCTAGTTTTTTCTTTCAATATTCTTTTTTTAATTTTGAATTTCAGCTATTTAAAATTGTATTTCTATATGAACTCTATTATTCTTTTTCTCTGATTTCGTATTTCAATTAGTTATAAATTGTACACCAATATGAACTCTAGCCTTCTCTTCCAATATTCATTATTTTTAATTATCTATGTAAATTATTTTTCTATATGGACTTCGATTAATATGAGAATTTCTAGGCCATGAGAGCAAACGCGGAGTCTAATTTTTTTTAGGCTGTGTTTAGATCCAGGGGTGAAAATTTTTGCCCTGTCACATCGGATATACTGATAAAATGCGAGATGAATTTATTAAGCCTAAATAATCCATCATTAGTAAATGTTTACTCTAGCACCACATTGTCAAATCATGTAGCAATTAGGCTTAAAAGATTCATCTCGCAAATTAGTCGCAATCTGTGCAATTAGTTATTTTATTTAATACTTCATATAGGTGTTGAAACGTTCGATGTGACATGGTGAAAAAACTTGACAGCAGATCTAAACATGCCCTTATTACTTAAATAAGTTAATGCATTAGTTCTTAATCCAATTGGTTAAATTAGAAAGAAACTTTGTGCATGTGGTTTGTTTGGTCGTTTCCATCTCAAGCTTTTTTTACTCCGATTTCTATAGTTACTTTAAGCTTTCGTAAGAAAAAGATTTATATTAGTTATATAACTATTATGGCCATGTTTAGTTGTTTAGGTGTAAAAATTTTGAAGTATACAGACACACATTTGAAGTATTAAATATAGACTAATAACAAAACAAATTACAGATTCCGCCTGTAAACTGCGAGAAGAATTTATTAAGCCTAATTAATCCGTCATTAGCAAATATTTACTGTAGCACCACATTATCAAATCATGGTATAATTAGGCTTAAAAGATTCGTCTCGCAATTTACATGCAAAGTGTGCAATTGGTTTTTTCGTCCACATTTAATGCTCCATACACATGTACAAACATTTGATGTGATGTTTTTCGCCAAATTTTTTTGGAATTTAAACACACCCTATATTAAATCTAAACTGTTATAATCTGGATCTACTATGACCCAATGGTTTTTTTTCTCTTTTTCTTGATTAACATTGGAATTTCTATTTTTCTTGTCTATTTTCACTTTTTTCTATCTTTCTTGTCAGTTTCCAAATTTTTTTTGTCCATTTCCAACTTTTTTTTTGTCCATTTACACCACACCCAATCTTTGTTTTTTTTTGTCCGTTTACACAAAACCTAATCCTAATACCCTTCTATTTTTTGTTTTTTCGAATTAAAGCCGAATCGAAAGGAAAATCATGGAGAAAATGATGAGAGAGGAATGGGGAATCGATTTTTCAATCAAATTGGAGGAGAAAACATACGATCAATATAGTGGCGACGCAGAGTGCTAGATTTAAGTCGGAAGACGTGCGGCGAACAGATCGGATTTAAAAACCGATGAGAAAACAAAAAGCACATGGGAGAAAAAACCGGTGAAAAAAAATTACAAAAAAAACCAAAGGCGCCCAGGAGGCGCGCTGTGAATAGATCGGTTTAAAAAGGCCGGAAAAAAAAACAAAAGACTTAGCGTGTGAGCATACAAAACTCTTTCGCGTGCAACACAAATCGGGAAAAAAATACCCGGTGCCAAAAAAACCAAACGGACTTTTTTTTACTGGGAGACTTTTTTTCCTTTTTCTACGGGAGTCGGACAATATTTTTTTACGATGAGATGTTTTTTTTACTTACAACAGAAGCTTTTTATTTTTATCTTGTTGAGTCGGACTTTTTATTTCTTTTTTTACCTTTTTGAGTTGGACTTTTTTATGATGAGATGTTTTTTTTTTACTTACATCAGAAGCTTTTTTTATCGCTTGTTGAGTCGGACTTTTTATTTTTTTTTACCTTTTTGAGTCGGACTTTTCTTTCTTTCTTTTCAACAGACGACAGAAATTTCTTATTTTTAGTAGAGATATAGATTAAAATAGAAATATAAAATTAAAACCGATTTAAACACAGATGACGTACCAAAATACCGACAAAAACATCTTTAATTTTTATAATAGTAGAGAAGATTAGAGACATAGAGATCAGATTTTTTTTTCCTTTTCTTTTGGCTTTTTTGGACGGTGTTTTTTTCCTTTTTTTTTGTTGCATCCAGATCCGACTTTTTTTATTTTCTTTACAGACGGCGTTTTTTTTCACCGTTGTTTCCATGGGAATTTTTCTCTTTTTTTACGGTGGCGTTTCCTTTTTTTTTCCGTTTTTCGTGTTGAGTAGAGATCGGATTTTTTTTTCGTTTATTTTGGCTTTTTTTTACGGCGTTTGTTTTTTTTTCGGTTGCATCCAGATCGGATTGTTTTCCACCTTTTTAGTTTTTTTTACAGCCGGCTTTTTTTCCACCGTTTTTTTTACGGATGGTGTTTCCTTTTTCCTTGTCGCTCGGACTTTTTTTTCGCCCTTTTCTTTACACGGACAACGGAAACTTCTTTTGCTTTTTAAATAGCTTTTTAAATAGTAGAGATAGAGACAAATATTGGAATTTCTATTTCTCTTGTCCGTTTTCACTTTTTATCTTTCTTGTCCGATTGGAATTTTTTTTTTGTCCGTTTACTCTTTGTTTTTTTTCCGTTTACACAAAACCTAATCCTAATACCCTTCTATTTTTATTTTTTTTCTTATTTTCTTCCGATTAACATGGATTTCTAGACTGTGAGAGCGAACGTGGAGGCTTCTTTTTCTATTACTTTATAGATATAATAGATTTAGTTAAATTTAGGTTTAAATTTTATACTTGGCATGACTCGAATATTTATTCTTTCAACGGTATACAAATTAAGCACCCGTCAATAACAAGGCACTAGCGATGACTTTGTTAATTTTAAGATGTGTTGACCAATCCACAGAGGAGGTGCTTATATGGACCGTGTGTATATTTAGAAGGGTGAGTGTACGCATGTGTATATGAGTGTACGTGTCCGTACCGTGTTTCACAAAATACTTTTTTTTTTACATTTAGAGTTTGTAAGTTGTAACTAATGTGGACTTATTTCAATATGATCTATCGGGGAAGTGGGAACGAGGGTTCCCGTTCCCTCAAATGCCTAGGGCAATGCGAGCCTTATCGAGACGTACAAGATCTGTATCTTTAAGGTGCTGAAGAAGAGCATGGAGATGTACAAGATATACATCTTTGGGCAACTGAAGCAGATACACCTCGAACTACTTCAACAACGATATATTCGGGAAGCTTGCTGAAGAGTCCACTAAGTTAATTCCCCCGATATGAAAAGAAGTCCACACACGATGACATTTGTGGCTCCAAGCACACGGGGTGACCCGAGCACAGCGGTAGCCCTGGGACAAGCCTTCAACGCCTCGAGACCGCGAGGTCTAATCAGGGCCCCGAGGACACTTGCAGGACCTAGGCTTTCCCCAGAAAGATCCATCCTACTCCCATTAAGGGGATTTGACACGTCCTATGGGTTTCTTTATACCGTCACTCCATATTAGTTGCAGGGCGGTACAAATCCCTGTGCACAACTCACCAGCGATGTGAGAGACGTGACGGTGCATGTTGTCCTTCATGCGCCATGTCGCCCTAGAGAAAAAAGGTGCGCAACATGGCATGCCCTCGATGTTTACCTCATGAGCCCCCTTACACTAGCTGCGGTGGCTGACAGGTGGGCCCGTGTGGCAGTCATGATGAAGACTTTTGTATCTCTATTCCACTTGTCAGTTAGTAGGTGTGTCCATCACATCTAGTCGGCTCGCTTGGAGGGACAGTGACAAAACTAAGCAAACAAATTCAGTGGAGCTGGGTCTCACTCCTGCGTGCATGCATTGGCATTATGGATTTCCCTTTACGTATAAAAGCATGATCTATGCCACCGAGAAAATGATTCAAACAACTAGAATAGCTAAGTTAACTTTAGACTCAGTGAAGGACTCATCCTCTCTTACTTATAATATCTCATCGTTTTCATATTATAAACACTTTGATCATCCATAGAGAGCACACGGGAGTATGGTATTATGCACCCATACGGTCCGAATCTGTATACTTCTTTGTATCAATCTTCATGTGTGACCCGAGCTTAAAACTTACACCCTAACCAAACTCACAAAGGGGTGTCTGGTCTCCTCGCTAGAGGAGCTCTGATATGAACCATTTTAATTTATTTTATTATAAAATCAATGGCAGTGGTTGGATGTTTGGTTTTTTTTTTTTTTTTGACACGGTTGGATTGGATGTTTCGCTTTGGCAAGATGCAAGAGAAAGGACCACCAAAAATGGGCCGGCGTCGCTTACGTCACGCCCGCCAGCCCAACAAATGTTCTTCGGCCTGTCGCCTTTCGTCATCCATGGCGGTTTTGGGCCCAGGATGGCTGCATTGGCCGGCGGCGCAAGGGTTTGAGGGCGCCGGCGCCGGCGCCGGCGAGGCGGCGAGCTCCACCGGCGAAGCACCCCCACCGTGACGGCGGATCCGGGCCTCCGAGGTCCGCGCTGCGCGCGCGCGCGCGCGGCCGAACCTCGCCTAGCTGGACGAGAAGAGGGGGGAGGGGGGGGGGGGGGTGGGAAGCACACCGCAGGTTCGTCTCTGCAGCTGCATTATTGTTGTTCTGCTTTTCGAATTGAACATCGAGACGTCGCGATTTCACTTTTTGGGATTAGATTGGCTAGGGATAGCGAATGGATGATATTATCTTATCTTTTCTGCGGGTGAGGGCGAGAGATCGATGGCGCGGCAGCAAAACTGTAACTTGGATAGGTGCGAGATGGCTTTAGGAATTGCAAATCTTCTGCTATTAATTGGTAGGAGTCCCTTTTCGTGGTAACTCTCTCGAATGGGGATAGCTAGGAAGCGCGACTATTCTTCGGTTGATTGCCAATTCCATTTTACTATCAGCTTTTTTTTTTTTTTTTTTTTTTTTTTTTGCGGGGCCATTTTACTATCAGCTGTAACTACAGCCACCTCGCTGGTAACAGCTACTGACCTATATGCTGCTTTGCTTCCTCTATACTCCTCCTGTGCAGTTTATTCTAGGAATGGACAACTAGCATAGGATCAAGAATGCTCCGTGCCTTAAGGGGCAATGAAGATTCAATCCAAAGAAGTTCAGCCCAACAAATGTAAGCAATCTCAAATCACTATATTAGATGTAAACATTTTTTTTAATATAACTTGTATCTTTAACAGCATTGAGAACAACTTTGTAGTGAAAAACATTGTTGGCTATGTGGTCCTACCTTTCTAATGTGATGCTTACAGTAATGTTGCATGATGAAACTTCTTCCTCGCTAGGATTTACATTGAAGTAAGCTGGTTGCATAGGCATGGGTAAGCTCACATTCTTGGTGTTTAGCATCGTGACAACCCGCTCCATAGCCGGTCGAAATTCTGCACTTTCTTGAACACATAAAAGCGCAACATGAATGCACCTTTCTATCTCTTGATGTTTATTCCCTGGAGGATAATAAATCAGATCACCCCATTTTCCATCTCTCCAAAGTTGCCAAGCCTAATACCAGAATAGTGTGCTTTCGTTAAATAAGTGTCATGCGCACTTCATTATAGAAACAACTGGTATGATAGAAAAGTAAATCAGGATTTGGGGTATCAGTACTCACAAATGAAATGAGATTATATAGCTTTCCATTGTGTTGATAGAAGTGGGCTGTCCTCTTCCCACTTACTATTTCCAAAATTAACACACCGAAGCTAAACACATCTGACTTGATTGAGCAAACCCCCTCAAATGCATACTCCGGAGGTATGTAGCCACTGTGTGAAGGAAGCAAAATCGATACTTGTCACTGATGAAAAAGATAGAATTTAAATATTGCTGATTGGATGCTTCATGCATGCCCCCCCTCCCCCAAGGAAAATACACACAACCCCCAAAAGAAGAAGAAAGAAGCATATCTCAAATCTCAATATGATGCGCAACAAAATGGATGTGCTACTATGTTCTTACTGTGTGCCCACTATTCTGGTGGTATTGGACTCTGCCATATTTGAATAGAATATTCTGGCCATCCCAAAATCAGATATTTTTGGATTCATAGTACTATCCAAGAGAATGTTACTGGCTTTCAAATCCCGATGAACAACACATAACCGTGAAAAGTTGTGAAGATAAAGAAGTCCTTGCCCTATCCCATCAATTATGTGAAGACGTTTAGACCAGTTTAGTTGTGCTCCCTTTACATTACCTGCAGAACATTTGCAATTATTAGTTAACATTTAGTATAAATTATAAACAGCATCACATTCGAGCACATAGAAAATAAAGGGCTCACTAAAGATGAAGTAGTCTAGGCTTTTGTTTTCCATATATTCATATACAAGAATTTTTTCTTGATCTCCTTGAGTGCAGCAGCCCAGCAGCTTGACGAGATTTTTGTGTTGAAGCTTTGCTATAAGTTGGGTTTCATTTTGAAACTCCAGTAAACCTTGTAAAGAACATGTTTCTAGTCTCTTGACTGCTATTTTAAGTCCACTGCTCAATTGCCCCTAAGATTGATAGAAGAAAAAAATGTTAGTTTTTTCCCCATCACTTCGCAACTGGTTTTATGTTATAAAAGTGCATTGCTATACATATTTTCAACAAGTGGGGAAAATAATTAAATTATCGTAAGGGCAAAATCTTGATGTTTATAGTAGGTAACTAATAGAATGCAATTCACGAATAATTTCTATATTTGGAATAAACAGTCAACAGCTGACCGTTTCTTATTTTATGAATGGTATGAGTAAGAATATGTTTGCAATTTAAGTTCATAGCCACCTTATATACAGTACCAAAGCCACCTTGTCCCAGTTTGTTATCATTTGAGAAGTTATTTGTTGCTTCTTTTAACTGGGAGAAATCATACAGGAAAAAGTCCGAGTTGGTTCCTTCTGTCCTCCATAGATATATTACAGTTTTTATCGCCAATGACAGCCGTCGTAATTTAGATAATGCTTGTTCTGAAAAATGATAATGATATATCATGTTTTTGGATCTTGAATCTGATACACTTGTCAGAAAATAAACAGTGGTATCATGCAGTGGAAAATTAGAGCTGTGCTAAATTGCTAATACATACCTCTATGTTGTTGTGTTTTGATCCATCTATGGAAAAGCAAACAAGAAATGGATACTACAAGTATGAACCCTCCAATACTAACCAAGGCTGTGTTTTCTCGTCGAAAAAATGCTTTCTTGCCTGTATGTTCACCTATAAAACGATTGAGTTATAGTTTGATAGTGCCAAAAGGCACATGTTAAAGCAACAACATATTGATGGGACAATTCTAACCACTGAAAAATGCCTCTTCACTCAACATGAATTATAGAGAAACCAAATAACAATTTATTCTTTTTGTCAAGCTCGTCTCCAGCACCATGGCTATGGAAACCTGGATGGTGGAGCAAGGTGTTGGTTCATTCTTAAAAAGTACAGTGAACTAGGATTTTGTTTGTAGCCATTTACTATAGGATATGTTTGGATAAGGGGCAATTTTCCATCAAAACTTTCCAGAAAATCCCAAAGAAATTTACCTCATGCAAGCACCTCTTGTTTCGAATCCAAGTCTGTTTTGGATAAAATCAGGCTAGTGATTTCGTTTATTTAATGAAAAAAATGATTTTTTTCCTTATTGTAATCCTCGTAGGCTGATTGGTTTGAATACTTGAATGGTCAAGAGAATGCAAAATTCTTTATGAATGGAACCGTGCAGGGTAACGTACTTTTCTTGAGCACATCCAGCAGTAGCATCTTGGTATCAGTGAAGAACTGTGTATCCGTTTCATACCTCAGTGTGCACCACACCCCAAGAATGGCCGCTCCCATCTGGGTAGTGCTAATCTTGCTCTGCCTGCCTGAGATGATACCATCCAGGCAGTTCATGCATTGCTCCGATGGCATGCCCTGCATGCACTGCACTAGCCCATACACCGTCTGTCCTGTCTCCTCAAACCTCTGTTTGCCTACTGCATACCTCTCTGGTCGACTCACTGCAGCATCAGTAAGTGCACGCAGCACCTTGGTGACAAGATCCTCAAATTGCTTAGCCACAGAAGCTGTCACAGCATTCAGGTTAGTATTCACAGTGCACTCCGGCACATTTGTGAAGCTGGAGATAAAATCCTGGTTGGAGAAGTGTATCCTGGCCTGGTCTTGGTTGTAATAGTAGGTCACCTTCTTGGTCATGGCCTTGGGAGAGTAAGAGTTGCTGTTTTTGCTGTTGATGGCTGCATCAAGGGCCTCAGTTAGGTGCTTGCGACAATCGGAGCCATCAGAATCGCCTCGACAAGAAACTGCACCATAGACTTTGTCCAGGCCTGTGCCGGCCATGCCAGTAGCTGAGTGCAGCTCTGTGGCATTAGCAATGAGCGTTGCGGCAAGGGAGATAAGGTTGGATTTGTAGGTACTGTTTGGCATGTAAATGGCGCCATTATAGTCACTGCAGAGTTCCTGGCCGACAGATGGTGCTGGGCAGGAGATGAAGAGAACTAGGAGAGACAATAGCAGCATACTGCAGTAACTAGAGAGCAATGGAAAAGCTTTGCTTGTGGATCGTCATGGATGAGTTCCAAATACCATCTTGGTTTTGTCTACCAAGAGGTATGGAATTCAACTCCTTGAACTTTGATTTCATTGAATTATTTGAAGAAAATGATTGCTAAGACTAAAGGTGAAATTGACTTGCAGAGTTGTAGTTAGACTTTTCCTTGAAATAGGATTTGGCAGATGGTGATGTTTCAAGGAGGGATAGCTCCAGAAACAGCGATTATTCGATCTGGGAACCTGACATTCACTTTCCTCCATCATCGGCTGTGGACTTCCTCTATACAGGTGTGTCATACTTTCCAAGTCGGTTTCAGATTTGCACTTCCATACAAGCCGGGAAATATATCTTAATTAAGTTGTGAAAAAAAAAACTAAAATTGCTAGCTGTGTCAATGACTACGTCTTTTTGAATATTCTGCACAAGTCTATCTGTTCTGGTATTTTGGAATTGTCAAGTTCTTTCCAGCAGGTTTATGATAATATTTTGTGGAATGTTTTTGGAGACTTAAATGTATATTTACTGATAATTTTGAAACACGTATATATGATAACATGGAAAATCTGGTTACGTATGGAATATGAGCAATAGATTACAAACAATGCCCTATCTAATTAATTAGTGCAAGAAGACCAATACCACTAGCCCACACCTTGCTAGTGTATATCTATTGTACTATCTACCATCAGTAAGGGTGATGGTTATATCATTTCTGCTGCACGATACATCGACATCTACTGATACATCTAATCTGATATGTGAGTAAGCTGGTTGCTTTGGTTCCGTTAAGGGGATGTCATCGCTGCTAAGCATAGCAACAACATCAGACATGGTGGGGCGCTCCGCTGATTTCTCTTGAACACACATTAGTGCCACCACAAGACATTTCATCATTTCTCCAGGTTCGTATTCATCACCAAATGATTGATCAATGAAATCACACCATCTTCCGTCTTTCCACATTCCCCATGCCTGAAAAAAAAATAATTGCTAAGTGTGATGGTAGGAATATCCATATATTTCTTCAGTTATTGGATACAAATGCAAACTCAAATTCAATAAATCAGAGCAAGGAAGGGAAATTATCCCTATGATTTATGGAAAAGAAAACTGGATAATGATCTACAACCACCCCTCAACAGTAATAGATATGTGAGGAACATTTTTTTTCTGCCAATTCAATTGCTTACATATTCAAGAAGATTTTGAAATTCTCCATAGTGCTGAAAACCTGCACTCCTCGTTCCACTCATAATTTCAAGAAGCAGGACACCAAAACTGAAAACATCTGATTTGATTGAGATAAGGCCCTCAGATGCATATTCAGGTGCCATGTAGCCACTGACAAGATGGCATGCAGTAGAGTTAGAAAGCAAATGTGTAGGTAGAAACTTTAGTAACTACTAGCATTTCTAGTTTCTTGCTCTTACAATGTTCCCACAAGTCTGCTTGCTTTTGCTCGAGAGGCATCCGATGGGAATATCCTTGCCATCCCAAAATCAGAAATTTTAGGGTTTAACTCAGAGTCCAACAGAATGTTGCTTGCTTTCAAGTCCCTATGGATGATTCTTAGCCGTGAATGCTTGTGAAGGTATAGAAGCCCCTGGGCTATTCCTTCAACTATTTTTCTTCGTGTTTTCCAGTTTAGTGATGTCCGTCTGATAGGATCTACAAGCAATATAATGCAGGCTCAAGGTTTAATACTTGTACTACACACGAGAATAAATGCAATTTTTATCAATAGCTAGGGAGTAAAACATGCCAAAAATGAAGTGATCCAAGCTTTTGTTGGGCAGATATTCGTAGATCAGTATCTTCTGTTCCTCATGAACACAGCAACCGAGCAACCTAACAAGGTTTTTGTGCTGAAGTTTTGCTACAAGCTGGATCTCATTTTTGAACTCCACTAGACCTTGTCTTGACTGTGCACCAAGTTTTTTTATTGCTAACTCTTGTCCATCAGGAAACAGCCCCTGTAAATTTCATCAATGAAATCCTACATACATATGATGCCATCAGAATTAGATGATACTGTTACAAGAAAGTACCTTGTAAACTGGGCCAAAGCCACCCTCGCCTAATATGTTATTGGCTGAGAAGTTGTCTGTAGCATCAGCAAGCTGGGAAAAATCATACAAGGAGAACTCTGAACCAGCATCTTCTATCTTCCAAAGCCGCATAACTTCATCCATGTCTGTGGTCTGCTCCATCAAGTTTATTTTCACTAGATGCACATCCTTCATTAGTTCTTGCATGTAACTGAAGTAAGTAGAAATGATCTAGTATTTTAGCTGCCAGTATCATGTACTGTTATTCATTTGCTTACCTCTTTTTTGTTTTCTTCTTATGCTTAGGAAACAGAAAAACAGGCGTGTGCAGATGATGGAAAGAGAGTAAACAGTAGCAATGATCAAGATTGCATGTCCCTTCTTTTGCCCTGAATTTTGAAACATAGAATGGTTTACATGTAGTGAATGAATCAGTTCTACAATATCAAAGACTTAGCTCCTGAATTTTGCTAAGATAGTGTGCCTTACGGTTGGATTCAAGTGTTCGTTTCTTTCTTTTTGGCCAAATTGATCAGCTAAATTGAATCTTAATTTGTACCATACCGAAAGGATTCATCTTAAACTTTCAGTCAATATATACATGTAAAATATACATATTTGGCAAGCAGAGTAGCATGCAGTCCTTTTTATATTTAGTATGCATTCAGCAGCCTGAAAGCAAAATTGTTTTTTTAGAGGTTTATCTAGCCAATCCATGGTCCAACTACTCTGAAGACAAAAACAGTAAATAGAATTCAAGGTATATGGAAAATGCCAAATGGAATTATATTTTTAGAATAACACAGTAAATGGAGTCATGACCTTGGGGCTCCTTTGGAAGACTGGATTATTGAAGGAATTTTGGAGAAATTCAACCCTATGGAAAATTTTCCTATGAGGATTCTTTTTCTTTTCTTTTTTTTTTTGAACGACTGGGGGGATCGTTTTCATTCATGCACTTTTCATAGGCTTCATCCAAACGGTCATTCTAGTAGCTCTCTTGCTTTATTTCAATCTATTGGATTTGAGGTGCTACGACATTTCAAACATGTATTTTTTTTCTTATTTTTGTCTTTTGAAAAATCATGCATTTCAAAGGAGCCGTTACTTTCATAATGTTCGTTCAGATTGGGTGAAGGATGTTAATACTTAATACTGCTCAATTAGTATTGCTATATACTAATTAACTTGCCTGGAGTGGTAAAGAACTGGGTGTCCGTCTCGTACCGCAGCGAGCACCTCACGCCATGGATCGCGCCGCCCATCGTGCCGCCGCCGATCTTCCGCCGCCTCTCGGCGACGACGCCGTCGAGGCAACTCCGGCAGCGCTCCGGCGGCATGTCCCGCGTGCACTGCGCCAGCCCGTACACCGTCCGGACAGTCCGGTCCCTCTCCCGGGACGGCCACGGCGCATCGCCCGCCGCGTACCTCTCCGGTCGCCTCGCCGCCGCGTCGGCGAGCGAGCCGAGGAGCTCGCCGACGACCTCCTCGAACCGCTCGGCGTCGGCGGCCGGCGCGGTGTTCAGGTTGGTGACGTCGACCCACTCCGGCGAGTTGCTGAAGGCGGAGAGGAAGTCATGGTCGGAGAAGCGGAGGTGGTACAGCTCGTCGTAGAGCGCCACGTCCCTGCGGAGCGCGCACACGCTGGTGCCGTTGACGATGCCGGCGAAGGCCTCGCGGAGGCGCCCGCCGCAGTCGGCGGCGGCGGTGTCTCCTCGGCAGAGCACGGCGCCGTAGACCCTGTCGGCGCCCGCGCCGGCGGCGCCGGTAGCCGAGTGCAGCTTCGTGGCTCCGGCGATGAGTGATGCGGCGAGGGAATCACGGTTCGACGTGTAGGCGCTGTTCGGCGTGTACGTCGTGGCGTTGCCGCAGAACCACCGGTCGCCGGCCGCCGGCGACGGCGGCGAGGAGAGGAGAAGGATTAGGAGAGCTGCAAGCATCGTGGCGGCCGGGGACACGGATGCGCTGCGCTGGGCAAATTAGTTTTCAACTTGCCGTGTTCTGGCCGTTGGAAAATTGTGAATTTTTGGTGTTCTTCTGCGCATACTGCCAACTGGCTGTGTTCGGCGTGGGCCGCGTGGCACGTTGAAAATTGATCTCCCCTGCACGTAAAATGCATGACATGCTGAAAACTGGTCTCCCCCACGAAAGATTTTATTAGTGTTTGATTAATCAAATACTAATTAAAAAAATAATCATGTGGCTTTCACCGTGACGCTTATTTAACATTAGAATTAAAAAAAACTAGATAGCACTATGCCGCGTTGCTGCGAAAACTTATAGCAAGTAGATTTATTGCAAATGATAATAAACAATTAGCATGGATGTTTATGAAAAAAATAATACTTGTTGCAATGAAAAACTGGCAAGAGAATAACTTGTGACAAATTGGCAATAGAGGCTCCATTTCTGACACTGGATAATGTTCTCCTTTATTTCCCATTTAATAAATTAAGAGAAAATAAAAACTGATAGGTGAGAGAAAAAAAAGGAAGTAGACATCGGTGGTGAGCCGGATCGGGGGAGGGTGGCGATGTTGAGTTGGACATGGGAGGGTAGCAGTGGCGAGTCGGACCGGGGATGAAGGGCAGAGGAATACTCGGTATTGTGGTTAAGGGATAAAAAGACCACAGTGGTGAACTTATTCCTTTGTGGGTTGCCTTTGTTCACATTAAAGAGGTGGGCCAATTCGTTGGAGTGAAAGAGGTGGGCAGACTTTGTTCACGTGAAATAAGAGGTGGGCCGATTTTGCTCATGAGTGGGCTGGATTTGTCCATGTGGAGATGATTAAAACAAGAGATAAGTTCACTTGCTGTCCCTCAACGAGTTTGATTGGCATTCCTAGACTATACAAAACCGTGTAACTTGGGTCCCATGGCATATCAATCAGACTAGACGTAAAGTTGAGGGAAGGCAAATGAACTTATTCCTTAAAAAGGGTTAATAGTTTATTTGGTCTTAAGGGCCTGTTCACTTTGATGTCATTTCTAACCTTACCATTTTTTGGTAAATTTGCTAAAATTGTGTATATGTTTAGTTTCTTACCAAATTTTGGTAAAAACACTAGAAATTTGGTAACTTGCACAGTACTGACCAAAATCGGCATGGGCCAGCGCAGCCCAAATTTTGGCTATTCCGCCTCCGCCTCTGCTTGAAGCAATCAGGTGACAGAGGGTGGTACAGCACGTCTGTTGGGTAGTAGTAAAAACTTCGGATGCAATCTAAACGCTACCAGATGTTACCAAAATTTGGTAGAATGTACGTTAGCAACAAAGTGAACACATTCAAAATAATTATCTTGCCAAAATTTTAGCAACATAGGTTTTTTTTTTTGGCATCAAAGTGAACAGGCCCTAAATCTCAAAGTAGTTCGCATCTATTAACAAGAGAGACTTCATCCTTGCTAAAAAATCAGAATTAGTCAAAATGATGAGTTTATGTGTACAACTGAAAAAAGAAACCTGAATGGTCCTTGGCCTCGTACTATTTAGTATAGCTCTTGGACTTTTTTTTTCGCTTCTATACATATGTTGCACTTGCTTGTCTTCACATCTACAGAACCTCAGAGCAGTTATTTGCCCCAGTGGGCTCTCTCAGACAGCGTGATACGGCCATCACAGCAGCTTCAATTGATGCATCCTCCCCCTGTTCCATGTTTCAAGAAGGCAATGGTGTGGACAACATATATAGAAACTAGAAGAGAGTTTCCAAGCAGGGACTGGCATGGTTATCCACAATTTCACAGGGCAAAACATAAAATTTTGTCCAAAAAAAACTTGAGCTTACTATATTTTTGCTAACAATTTACATTGTTGTTCAAAATATTCAGACATTGAAACCAGCTTAGACAAGGAAGGAAAATCTGAAGCACAAAAAGAGAGAACCTGATCAGTCGGAGGAATTTTGTTATTTGAAAGGTAACTGCAGGATAGTTTCTATTGGATGGTTTTAAAAGTTTGTGCTGTTTCCATTGCTAATGATCATATTTTAGTGCTCTTCTAATTGTAGAATCAGGAGGACAAAAAAAAAACATCACTATGAATATGTAATTTATTGTTAACTGCTAGATTGAATAACAAAATGTTACCTTTTCTTTCCAGAAGAACATGTTTCCGTACTTCCCTGAAACACGACTCCAAAAGCTCCGAGGAATGTCTAAATCAACTAATGCACCAACATTGAAATTTATAATGTTTCCTGCCAAAACAAAGACATCATTGTGCTGCTAATAAGCATGAGTGCATGACAAGTGATCAAATTTCAAAAGTTTTGTAATAAAAACAATGGTACTTTGGGTGTGCAAAGTTTTGCTGCTCAGTTATGAGGTGTTAACATCCAAGAAATGCAGAGGTTTGTAAAACTTGGGATCGTTTTTTAGGGAATGAACACTTGGTATCACGAGACCAGCAAGAACAACTCAATATGTCTTATGGATCCAGATCACATCATAGGTATCATGCCCTACCTAGCATGTAAACTTGGGTACCATCTAGATTATTTGTTCGCAAGAGCCAAGCAAGAAATGGTAAGGACATCAACTGCATGGACTAGCAAGCTCATTGATCATCAGCCATCACTGAGAATTTCTTAACAACATGCTTCATCCCAGCATGGCTCGGTTTTTCCTAATTTCCCTAGTCCTAAAACTTTCACCCTTAATTCTGAGAGTTAGATTCCTTTTTTTCCTAATTAAATTATGTACATTTATTGTGTCCTTACTACCCAAAACATTATACTCATCCAGTGTGCGATGAAAAAAAAAAGATATGGAGAACTGTGTTTTCAACCAAAAGTATCTCACCGAAGGTGGGATCGGCGACAAACACGATTGTCTGGTCATCAACTTGCCAAAAATCTTTGATAGCCAACCCTGGAAAAAGATTGCCCATAAAGCAAGTAAATCAACTTTATACAAATATCAACATGATAATACGAACCAGTGGATCCTGCTCTAAATAGCAGAGAGGATTACAAAGCTATGTGCCAACAGATTATCGCAATTAAGTTGGCAATCAATTCATAACTTAGTTGTACATCCTTTGCTAAGAGAGAAATAATGGTTAAAAGAAATTATCACAGTATACAAGAGACTTCTAAAAAGGACATAAGATTGCTGAGGAACGAGTTCAGATCATAGGCTCATAGCACATCAGCGATCCTTAATCGGTTGATCCAGTGAATTAAATTACCAAGTTTTTTTTTCTTTTGCAAGGAGTTAATTACCAAGCTCAACTCATAAAGCAGACCTAAAGAGACAGAAGCTGAACCTTTGCCATACATACACTCCATGACTATGAACTTAGCTGTTACCGAAGTTAGCTGTAGTATAGAAACCAGGCTCAGTTGTCCAAAAATAGATTCCATTTTTGGCTTTAGAATCACCATTTAAAAATAAGGTTGGTTATTGATTTTGTAATAAACTAACGATATATTAGAAAAAAATTATACTGCCATTTCCATATGGCTTGGTTGAGATTTGAGATACTCTAGATATAAAATTGGTCAAAATTGGCAAAGTCCGATTGTTGCCACACAATGTTACCATGTATCTATAAATATATTGTATAATTAGATAACACAAACAAAGGATAACTATATGTAATAAAACAGAAGCAAAAAGCACCTGGTGTATCAGGATAATTTTGTGCAAGAACTCTCAACTTGTATCCTGTATCTTTCTCAAGATCTTCTATTTCTTGACGCAGACGGTTTTCCTAAGAACAAAATCAGGTTCAGTACATAGCTCCTAGCTATTATAATCTAGATTATAACCACCAAAACATAGAGTACAAAGACAAAAAGTGCACATTGAAATACAAATCAATGTGATCTAGTCATCCAAAAGACAATTATTTCTACTTCTACCCCCATGGAAGTCTGTACAGAATGCTGATAAAGAATGTATGGCAATAAAAAATATGGCATTTCATTTCTGGTAATGGAAATGGGGGCCTATACCCTTGCTCAAAAAATAAAAAAATAAAAAATATGGCATTTAAATCAAAATCCAAGTGCCCTATACTAAAATAGAACAACAGTATCCATATATACACCTATCTTCCACATTTATGAGACGCCAGAGTTCTACAAGAACAAGAAGGCAACACTTTTTTCCACCACAAAGGATCTGAAATTAGGGTCAAATATGTTGCTTTTGAATGCAACTATTGTGTTTCTGCAGTGAAGGGATGTCAATCATTGACAGCAAAATTTCCCTAACCAAGTTATTACAGAAAATTATCCTAGTCATGATTTGTTATATGAGATTCAGGCATTCAGCAAGCTTAATTCCAAGTCTGCAGGGTAGAACTTTTTTTGTTCCTACGACACTAAAGCACTTAATACAGCTGAGCTACCCTGAAGTTATGGTTAAAGAAATGTGATTAAGTATTGTCTTTCTGCTTTAGGGAGTGTTTAAATCCAGGGGTGTAAAGTTTTGGCATGTCACATCGGATATGGATATTATATAGGATGTCGCATGAGGTGTTCGGGCACTAATAAAAAAACTAATTACAGAATCCGTTAGTAAACCGCGAGACGAATTTATTAAGCCTAATTAATCCATCATTAGCAAATGTTTACTGTAGCACCACACTGTCAAATCATGGAGCAATTAGGCTTGAAAGATTCGTCTCGCAAATTAGTCGCAATCTGTGTAATTAGTTATTTTTTTAGCCTATATCTAATACTTCATGCAGGTGTTCAAACATTCGATGTGACAGGGTGTAAAATTTTGGGGTGGGATCTAAACAGGGCCTTATATTCTCAGAGTTTTAGCTGCTCTGGATCTGTACGGATGAGAAACATGTGCATAACGGACATTAAATGTCATGATCTGCATCTCAGTGTTTTTAATGGACACTAAATTTTTGTAACTAGTTCTGAAAAACTACATCTCATAGAATATGTTGTTTGAATTTACCTGACCTGGGGAGAGAAAACCAGCAACATCAATGACGGTGGTGAATTCCTTGGGAAGCAATTCGGGTTTGTTGACCCCAGTCTTTGCATTAACTATACCAACAACTGCATGTGCGAGATTCTGCATGAGATTTTTCCATTGACAGCTTTTTTACTTAACAAAAATACAAAAAACTATATATTTCAGAGAACTCTATATGTGCCATTGCAAATACATGTAATGGTCAAAATGCCACTTTAATACCAAAAAATTCAAAGTGACCAAACAACATAAACCTCAAACAGAAAAGAGAAAGGCCTCCTCCCATTTTCCATCTTCTCCTGCTAATATTTAGTAAGCGGTAAGTCTCCTACCACTGCCATGCCAATCATTTTGCTATCTGAACTGGGTGTCTGACAAGGAACATACAGAATGCACTGTCTGGCTGTTACAAGCAGGCAAGCAGCCAATGCATTGCCAGCATGAAGGTACAACACCACAGCTTGACAAGCTGCTGTGACTAGTGACAGAATCACTGCAGTAAATAAATTAATCCTGGATATATTTGGCAAGAGATTCCTTTGCATGAGCCGTTCCATGGTTTACCCAGACTCTGTGTAGGCCTATAGTCTACACTCTATTATGTAACCCATTTATCCACTAAATGCAGAAGTTGTAGCAGAATATCCAGATAGGAAGAAACAATAGGGGGATAAATAATCAATAGAAATATCATAATAGAATTTTTCTGCAGAAATATCTTTCGAGTGGCACTAATTGGCCAAATTTTTGGAACGCCATTTATCCACATGACCAAACCAAATCTTTTAAGTGTCATTTTACATATCAATCATTTTGGCAGCATTTATCACTCATGAACATGCATTAGGAATAAAAGTTACACAAGGTTTCAATTTTCTGAAACATAGTAGCACTGAACTGAGGGAATTTTGTGATGTCTTTGAAATGCAGAATAGAATTTCCCATTCTCATATTTTACTACATGGACTATGCAGTAGCAAAACAAATAAAAACAACGTATACAGTTGTACTACTTTTCTTCAAAAAAAGCACCTTGAGTTCCATTTCTTGTGCTACAGTATTCTGTTAGTGGTACTCTGGTACATTCAGTTTCATAGCTTTATCCATTCATATTACAAAGTGATCACTCCACTCTTGAATATCATATTGCAACTAGAAAACCACCAGTCCAGACTTGTTAAAAAAAAGTCACATCTGTTCGTTTCAGCAACAATTATACTGCGATTCTCCACATCCCAATCCTTTATTTATTCAATGGTGGATCATTGCTTCTTTTCTTTTCGAACAAGCCGTACAGTTTTATTCTTATTTTATTTTTATTTTTTAGATGCAGTTCCCTTCAGTTCCTGCGAAACAAAGACGAAGGCCAAGAAACTTACAGCAAGTGAAGGACAAGGCGACGGCAAGCGCGCTGGAGACCGCGGCCTTCCATGGCACCGCTCTTCCGAGGTCACCGGCCCAAGAAGCAGCAGCAACCCTGCAAGCGGCGGCGGCGGCGGGCGGCGGAGTCCGACAAGCGGAGCAGCGGCCGCCGAGGGAAGAAGCAAATATTGGTCTTGGACGAGCAGATAATGGCGACGACGCAAATGCGGATGCTCCGGAAGGTGTTATCCGAAGGGCGTGGCAAGGAAGGAGAACCATGTTCGTCGCCATAGAATGGCGGAGAAGGGGGGAGTGGCTGCGCGCGGGGATGACGAGGCGGGCCGCAAGCCCCCGCAACTGGAGGAGGAGGTGGAGAAGGAGGCGCGGTGATGGACTAGGGAGGATAGGAGGCTGCGGCGGCGAGGGGAAGCGGCTGGGAGAGGCGGCGGCGGCGAGCCGGCGGGAACGGAGGAGGTGGCGGAAGCGGGGCCTGGAAGAAGACGAGGATGGGTGGGATTTGCCGGATTGGGGATTAGAGTTTCAGGTGACATCTAAACCAGCAATGATGGATCCAACGGTCACAAAACAATGATGACGTGGCTATTCTAGCCTCCCCCTGTATGAATAGTTGGGCTTATTCAAAATCTTTTCATTGTTCAGCTATTTACTTTTTAAGAATTAAGATAATGGAAAATTTTCGTCACTTGCTTCAGCAGAAGCCAAAAGCCAAATTATTAGTTTGCAGCACCTCTATCTGCATCACAAAGTGATAAAAGAACGTTATTAAGAGCAAACCCTATTGGTAAATAATTGATGGCGCTGATTAACTTGGTAGCTGTTTCTTTATACTACTTATAAAATTATGGTTTGAAATGAATATAGCAATGTACTCCCTCCATTTCTTATTATAATTCGTTTAACTTTTTTTAATCATATTTTCTTTAAGTTTGACTATGTTTATAGAAAAAATAAATATTAGTACAAAACAAACATGTTATAAAAATATATTCAGTGTTAAATTTAATGAAACTAATTTAGTGCCGTAGATGTTGCTATTTTTTTTCATAAACTTGTCAAACCTAAAGAATTTTGATCAAGAAAAAAGTCAAACGATTTACAATATGAAACAGAGGGAGTAGTTTTTGACCTATAAAATAGTATAATATACTCCCTTAGTTTCAGGTTATAAAATAGTATGAAAGTTTACTGGCACGTCGTTAACAATTTGTTTGAAGTCATCGAAGAACTAAAGATGTGGTTTAGGGTAGTTCATTGTGCAACAAAGGCAAAGTTACCTAGTCTAAAGTGAAAAGTGAAAAGATTGAACAAATGGTAGTCCAAAGTGAAACTTTAGCAATAAAATATAGCTCAAAGTAAAATTAACTCTTATTTTTTCTATAAATTTGGTCAAACTTGAAGCAGCTTGACTTTGACCAAAGTCAAAACGTCTTATAACCAGAGTAGAAATTATTGCTGATCAAATTGAAATGGAGAATCAACGAGGCGAACCTATGGAGAGAAGTGAGGAGGGTTGGTCATACTATTTTAGCCCTCTGATTATAAATAGTTGATGTTTAGGATAAAATTTGAGTAATATTTTAAATTTTGATTAAAGTTAATTTCTGAAAATGCTTAGTTTAAAAATAAAAGAAATGGTATACACATATATTTTTGTTAAAAGTATTATAATAATATCGTAAGACTTATTAGAATTTATAAACTTATTATAATTGCCAAAATTACAAAAGTTTGACAACATTTTGTCCTAAACCGTTAAATATTTATGATCGAAAGTAGAAGGATGGTTTGTTCAATTTCTATGAAATTAAGGCTCTGTTTGTTTCAGCTTAAGATTATTATAATCTAGATTATTAAATTAGATTACTTTAAGCTGGATTATAATAAGCTGACATAAAATAAGTTATGTGTTGTTTATTTCTTTAGATTATTAGAGGCATCTAAGGTTAGTGAGTCTTTAGCCACTCAATAATCTGAAAAAAGCTCCTCTAGAGGAGATTATTGGATTATAGCAAAATCTGGCTTATAGATTATAATAATCTACCATAATAATCTACTTGTTTGTTTTAGCTTACGCCTAATAATTTAGATTATAATAATTCTAAGCTAAATCAAACAGGGCCTAAAAGGTAGTATAGAGTATTCTATTAGGTTTTTTATGTTGAGACACGCCTACGAGTAAGGTTCATATCTCTGCATCCAAATTTTGGGGTAAAAGAACACGATTACTATTGTTGACTACTACTCTCTCTAGTCAATAATATTTGACGTGAGAGAAGATTAGTTAGTACTCTCAACGTTAAATATTATTAACTGGAGTGAGTATAAAAGCATGGGTACATGTTTCATTTCCCACAAAATATATATCCATCACATTTCTCTTTTTTAAAACTTTTTATTGAGCGAGAGATAAATCACATTTCCCTTGTACCTTGTTCTCACCTTCTACATTCAATCCAACAAGGCACCTACAAAGTACACGTATATAGTAGTTGAACAAGAATGAATTAAGTGGTTGCAATATCTAAGCTATTGTTTGTCGATCATAATCATCATGTCGTCATCAACAAAATGTGGCAAGACATTCACTTGCCACGAGCCCGTGTTTTTCTGTAACTTCTCTACATACCTCTAATTTCTTAATTACTAAAGTTTCATTATTTGACAGAACACTTTAGAAGAAGCAGTTAATCAGTTCAATCGATGTGACGACAGACGACTCAATTATCATCAATCTGTGAACGAATTTAACTCGACTTCTTCTCTGCTAATAATTAATTAATTAATTAAATTTCTGGTCGGTGAACTAAACGATGATCTAGTACTTGCATCGATCAGCGGTCGTCGCAGCCACGATCAGCTTTAAAAACGCGGTGATGTTCTTAGTTTCGTGTTCTGGATACTTTGGATTAAGTCAATCAAATTCATCTTACTTTTTTTTACCTAATTTTGGACCACGACGGCTGCGAAAGAGATGTCCTAGTAATCATCATCCAACGACCACAAAGGTCTCCTCTTTATAGAATGCGAGTTTGAACGCTTATTGCCTGCACGCCAAACTAATTCTACACCTAATGACTTTCCCTCAATAATTTAGCCCCTAATCTTCAGCATCATCCTCTTGCTTAATTGTTTCTAGGGTTGCTATAATCACAGGTGCAACTGTGCACTATGTTGTTTCGAGGCAGGAGAGAGGCAACCTGCACCTGCCCATGGAGGACTCGGATTAGACTAGAGCACAAGATGGCGTGCTTGACCAAGTATCAGCACGCCACGAATGCAACGAATTAACGCGAGAGATGTTGTATAAGTAGTGTGATTTGATGCCAAGTTCTTGCATCTTGTCAAATAGTATTTGGGCGTGTTGATGATGAGCGTGCAAATGGCGGCGTCGCTACGTGTGATCGTTGTGTTGGTGTGTGTGACGGCGGGCGCCGCCCTCGCCGACGCGGCGGCCGGCGGCGTCCGCGTCGGGCTGACGCGCATCCACTCCGAGCCCGGGGTCACCGCGTCCCAGTTCGTGCGCGACGCCCTGCGCCGCGACATGCACCGGCGCGCGCGGTTCGGGCGGGAGCTCGCGTCGTCGTCGTCGTCGTCTTCTCCGGCGGGCACGGTGTCCGCGCCGACGAGGAAGGACCTGCCCAACGGCGGGGAGTACATCATGACGCTGGCCATCGGCACGCCGCCGCAGTCGTACCCGGCCATCGCCGACACCGGCAGCGACCTCGTCTGGACGCAGTGCGCGCCGTGCGGGGAGCGGTGCTTCAAGCAGCCGAGCCCGCTGTACAACCCGTCGAGCTCGCCGACGTTCCGCGTGCTCCCGTGCAGCAGCGCGCTGAACCTGTGCGCCGCCGAGGCGAGGCTGGCCGGCGCGACCCCGCCGCCGGGGTGCGCGTGCAGGTACAACCAGACGTACGGCACCGGGTGGACGTCCGGCCTGCAGGGCTCGGAGACGTTCACGTTCGGCTCGTCGCCGGCCGACCAGGTGCGCGTCCCCGGCATTGCCTTCGGGTGCAGCAACGCCAGCAGCGACGACTGGAACGGCTCGGCGGGGCTCGTCGGCCTGGGCAGGGGCGGCCTGTCGCTCGTCTCCCAGCTCGCCGCCGGCATGTTCTCCTACTGCCTGACGCCGTTCCAGGACACCAAGAGCAAGAGCACGCTCCTCCTCGGTCCGGCGGCGGCGGCGGCGGCGCTCAACGGCACCGGCGTCCGGTCGACGCCGTTCGTCCCGAGCCCGTCCAAGCCACCGATGAGCACGTACTACTACCTCAACCTCACCGGCATATCCGTCGGCCCGGCGGCGCTGCCCATCCCTCCCGGCGCGTTCGCGCTCCGGGCAGACGGCACCGGCGGGCTCATCATCGACTCCGGCACGACGATCACGTCGCTGGTCGACGCGGCGTACAAGAGAGTCCGCGCCGCGGTGCGCTCCCTGGTGAAGCTGCCGGTGACGGACGGGTCGAACGCCACGGGTCTCGACCTGTGCTTCGCGCTGCCGTCGTCGTCGGCGCCGCCGGCGACGCTGCCGAGCATGACGCTCCACTTTGGCGGCGGCGCGGACATGGTGCTCCCGGTGGAGAACTACATGATCCTCGACGGCGGCATGTGGTGCCTGGCGATGCGGAGCCAGACCGACGGCGAGCTCAGCACACTCGGGAACTACCAGCAGCAAAACCTGCACATACTCTACGACGTCCAGAAGGAGACGCTGTCGTTTGCTCCGGCCAAGTGCAGCACGCTCTGATCAGACGAGAGTTGTACAGATCGATTCATGTGACACGTGTACATTTTTCTGGTTATTAGTAGTATATGTTTCTGGTTATTTTTGTATAGTTTCTACCTCGTTTCTTGAGGGTCTTGATCGGTAGAAATTTCTGTAAAAAGCTTCTTAAAAAAATGTTGTATGAGACTAAAACAGGAAAGATTCAGCTTAGAATTCACACTCTTTCGTAGGAATTGATAATTTGCATTTGACCAGGTGGAAACAGTTTTTTCCAGTGATAGTCTAAGCCACTATTAATTGTGACTAGGACTTTGGAACACGGCAATGCTGTAAGGCATCCTGGAAATTTCAATGTGATTGTAATGTTTAAATGGGAGCAAAACCAAACAACATACGCTGAAAATAGTTAACCTGTAATTCAGAGAGTACATCTGGACGGTGAGTTTGTGAACATGATACAACTAAGTTGAAAGCAATGAAAAAACTGTGAAAAAACAGAAATAAAATTAGCTATAAGTAAAAGGGACTTTACTAAAATCTAACTTAATACCCACTCAATTTTCACTTAACAATTTCACTAAAGAATACATGTAAGATGTAACTTAACCAGAACACAGGAAGTATCTATATATGACAAAGTCCGGACAATGACATACTAGCATATATCTAAAAATAACAAATGCGGATAATTGACATTTTTCATGACCTCGTCAGTACGCATCACCAAAACCACCATAGAAAGTTCAGGCAAATATGTTATCCACGTTTGGTGTCCTCAATGACCTCATCTGTCAGCATCCTTTGTTGAGCTACAACCACAAATGTGATTTATTTTCTTCCATTGTACTTTCCTCTTCGCCGTCGGTTTCCACCTCGCCCTTGACCTCTAGCTCGTAACCAGTTCGTCCTACTCGTTGATGCACCCGTTGGTCGGTCATTATACTGACCTTTCATGAGCAACAGCTTGTGAGCTTCAGCCTCTCTTAATGTCCATAGCAGGTCATAGTACTTCTCATATCTTGCAGCCCTGTATTGCCGATGTAGATGAAGGTTAATTGGATGAAATGTAGATAATGTCTTCTCAATTAACTCCTCCTGCGTGATTTCTCTACCACAAATTTTGAATCGAGAGATTATGAGATGGAGAGCTGAGTCATATTCAGACACAAGCTTGTAGTCATGGAAACGCAAGTTCAACCAGTCATTCTGAGCTTGATATAGGACCCTGGCCTTCTGCTCTTCTTCAAATCGATCCTTCAGGGATTGCCATAAGACAAATGGATCTCTTTCAGCGCGATAATCAGTCCGAAATCCTTTGTTTAAATGGCGCCAAAGAAAAGCCAATGCCTCCCTCTTTTGGGTCTCGGTACACTCTGAATTAGAGATAAGTGCCGTACAGAGACCTTTCATGCCTAAATGGATTTGAGCCTCAATAGCCCGTTCCAAGTAATTGCTTCCATCAAGAGCAAGCTCATCAAAGTCTTCGCTGTTGAAATCGAACATGTTTTCCTACAGTTAAAAGTATTTAGTCTACAGATAGTCATGAATAAAATAAAGATTAAACAAACCATATATATGCGTCAGGGCTTGCAATGATGTCAATGCTAATATGCAGTACATCCTGTCCAAACTACAATCTCTGTTCTATAAATGAGGCTTTAAGGAGAACTTATCATATTACCAATATTTTTATGAATTTTATATGAAACCTAACTGCATCATCCTTAATACTCCCTCTTGTCATAAATATTTAACGTGTAGGAAAATATTTGGTCCATATTGAAAATATACTTTAACCATAGATAATTTTTCAAATGCTTAGTTTTAAGTAAAAATAATAATGTGCATAGATTTATCTCGAAAAGTACTAATCACAATATCATAAACACATTTTAATATAAAACTGATGGCCAAAGTTTCACAATTTTGACCTCTAAACATCAAGTATTTATTACCAGCATCAGTATTTAACGGCTAAGCATACAGCTTAGACAGATCGTTTGTCCTGACGCCAAATATAGTATTGTGAAAGTGTAATTTATAAACCTGATCAAATACCATATCTAAAACAATTAACTAGGCTTAGGTCTACTCCCAGTGTCCCAAAATAAAATAATTCCTCATCCCAAGAAGATTTTAGTAAGGAGGGAAAATGACTAAGTTCCTCATTAATCGGAGATGGTTGGTGGATAGACAAGAGGTATTGAAGAGTTTAGGAATACAACTTTCCAAACAAATTTTGAACTCTGTGAATCAACTTATTTTGAGATGGAGGGAGTATATTATTTTTTGTGTTATTGTCTTGGTTGTACTTGGGTGAGTTACTATAAGACACGAAATGTTCATGTCTGTATTAGGGTTATTATTTTTCTTTTCTAGGCATCCCTGGTTGATGTAGAGGTTACGTGTAATTCATTTTTAATGAATTTTTTCTCGTTATCTTAAAAAATGTATATGTTATTTGTGCTACTGATCAACAAATTAATTGTTACTTATGAACTGATTCAATTGACTAGCCATAATAAATACTAGACGAAAGTATCTGGCTATGAACAATGAAGAACAAAGAATCTAAAAGGGACAAGGTAGCCGAATATTATCACACAGCAACAAACAAGGAATTAATAGTCCATAACACAATATCTCGTCGGAGAGGATGCCCCTCTCGTACGGCACGGCGGAGGAAACGGGAGCAAAATCTGGGTAGAACTAGAGTTAATCTACATGTATGATGTATCTCAGCAATTTATCTTTGTAGGGCAACGTCTAGAGTTGAAAATGGTCAAAGGGGAAAATGCGGAAATCAAATTTCATATATTGGCGCCGGGGAAGGCAGGGAAGAAATCGAGAAAATCAGTGAGATCAAATGTTGTGATCTTGTTGATGAGATTAATAAAGGAGATTTTCAATTGTGAGATCGTGGCTTCCGAACTTGAAATTGGAACAGAAAAAAAAAACCTTTCAGTTTCACAACACTCACCATGATAGTGCCGGACGCGCTGGCCGCTGTCCGAAACTGACCCTAGGCTAACCGCGGGCGCCGGGCGGCGGCGGCCGCGGCGGACGGCGGTGCAGCGCGACCGGAACGGCGTGGTTATTGGATTGGAACCGACGGCGACTAGCCTGAGAGCGACTGTTCCAATCCAACAGCGGAGTAGAGGCGGAGAGATCCATATATAGGGGAGGCGAAAAAGAAACTGACAGCCCAGAGAGGAACGAGTAAACGGGCCATCCGTGGACAGCCCACATGGCTCTAGCCATCCGGCCCATCTAGCCCACGTCGCGTGTAAGTTGAAGGTTCGCCGCGCCACGCATCAAACCATATCTGCATCGACGTGCGGCGCACACCGCCGCGACTACCATTTCGACTGATAGATCACCCACCGGATCGCACGCACTCTCCATCAACGTGCCACTCCGGATTCAACTAACCTCACTGCGATGAAACAAGCCATATGATATTATGATTGATCAAGCGCAATGTGGGCAGAAAACGCAACAAATCACACCGTCTTCGGTTCGGCTTCGTGCTCTGGTCTTGGCTCCAATGGCGGCGTTTCTGGTATGGATTCTCCTCTTGTTACCGTACGTTGCCATTTCGTCCACGGCGAGCCATGGCGTTCGTCTTGAGCTCACGCACGCCGACGACCGCGGCGGCTATGTGGGGGCTGAGCGCGTCCGCCGCGCCGCCGACCGGAGCCACCGCCGCGTGAACGGCTTCCTCGGCGCCATCGAGGGGCCGTCGTCAACGGCGAGGCTGGGGAGCGACGGTGCCGGTGCTGGTGGCGCAGAGGCCTCCGTGCACGCCAGCACGGCGACGTACCTCGTCGACATCGCCATCGGGACGCCGCCGCTCCCGCTCACCGCGGTGCTCGACACGGGCAGCGACCTCATCTGGACGCAGTGCGACGCGCCGTGCCGGAGGTGCTTCCCGCAGCCGGCGCCGCTGTACGCGCCGGCCAGGTCCGCGACGTACGCCAACGTGTCGTGCCGCTCGCCGATGTGCCAGGCGCTCCAGAGCCCGTGGTCCCGCTGCTCGCCGCCCGACACGGGCTGCGCGTACTACTTCTCCTACGGCGACGGCACCTCCACCGACGGCGTCCTCGCCACCGAGACGTTCACGCTCGGCTCGGACACCGCCGTGCGCGGCGTCGCCTTCGGGTGCGGGACGGAGAACCTCGGCAGCACGGACAACTCCTCCGGCCTGGTCGGCATGGGGAGAGGCCCACTGTCGCTGGTGTCTCAGCTCGGCGTCACCAGGTTCTCCTACTGCTTCACGCCCTTCAACGCCACCGCGGCGAGCCCGCTCTTCCTCGGCTCGTCGGCGCGCCTCTCGTCCGCCGCCAAGACCACGCCGTTCGTGCCGAGCCCGAGCGGCGGCGCGCGGAGGCGGAGCTCCTACTACTACCTCTCCCTGGAAGGGATCACCGTCGGCGACACCCTCCTCCCGATCGACCCAGCCGTGTTCCGGCTCACGCCGATGGGCGACGGCGGGGTCATCATCGACTCCGGCACGACGTTCACCGCGCTGGAGGAGCGCGCGTTCGTGGCGCTGGCGCGCGCGCTCGCGTCGCGCGTGCGGCTGCCCCTGGCGAGCGGCGCGCACCTCGGCCTCAGCCTCTGCTTCGCCGCGGCGTCCCCGGAGGCCGTGGAGGTGCCGCGGCTGGTGCTCCACTTCGACGGCGCCGACATGGAGCTGCGGCGGGAGAGCTACGTGGTGGAGGACCGGAGCGCCGGCGTGGCGTGCCTCGGGATGGTGAGCGCGCGGGGGATGTCGGTGCTCGGCAGCATGCAGCAGCAGAACACGCACATCCTGTACGACCTCGAGCGAGGCATCCTATCCTTCGAACCTGCCAAATGCGGCGAGCTTTAGGATTCGCATGATCAAAGAGATACATGACCATATGTACATAACTTGAATTTTCTATCAGTTGCTTTTGCAATTATTCTATGGAGGTGTTTTCGTTCCCAAGGCGACATTCCCTCTGTTTATTGCATGTCGAGAAACACACTTTTCCCTTGTTCTCTTGCATATGCTTGGTTGATTATGCGTGTGCTTGGTGGTGTGTTCTGTGTTCATGTTCTTCAAAGAAGTCTGATGTTCATCTGACTTCTAAAATGCTAAATAATTTCAGCTGAATGCAGCTCAATCACTGCAGCTAAATCTGAAATCCAAACTTAACATACTTTTATTTACAAGTGCGTGTATATTACACGGACTGTACATTATTCTCCACATCCATATCTACAAGAATACGCGCTGACATATGAAAAGGTGATCAAAGCCGAACAACAAATGTATGTAACTCGAAATTCTAGCCAGCCAAGAGAAGTACGATCAAATAATTAAACAACATAATATGTACATATGCAAATACGCAATAGAGATCACTCCCATCGATCGATCAGTACGTGCGTCTCGGTCTCGATCAGATCTTGCCGCAATCCGCGGGCTGCACGGACAGCACGGAGTTCTTGAGCTCGTACAGCACGTGGAAGTCCATCTGCAAGTAGTTCCCGATGCGCGAGCCGGTGCTCGACTTGCCGATCATCAGGCACAGCACGTCGCCGCCGCCGCCGCCGCTCTGCTTACCGGTGTAGGCGAAGTAGTTACCGAACAGCAGCTCCATGTCCATGCCGTCGAAGTGCATCGTCATCGTGGGCACGGTGACGACGTTCTTGCTCGCGTCGTCGACGAGGAAGCACAGGAGGCCGCTCCCGTTGACGGCCTCGTACGTCCGAGACATCCGCGCCCTGAACGCCTCCACGACGGCGGTGTAGGCCGGCTCGACCAGCAGGGTCGCCGGCGCGCCGATCTGGAAGGCGACGCCGCGCGTCTTGGCCGGTGTTTGGGTTGAACGCGAACGTGTCGTTGGGAATAGCGAGGCGTGTCCCGTCGACGGAGATGCCGAGCAGGTTGACGTAGTAATTGGCGTCGTCGGGTAGGAGAGGGGTGGATGAAACGCCATTCCCGTCCATGCTGGCCGTGGACCCGAACAGCACAGGGCTGGCAACGTTAGGGTTCGACGCGAGGCAGTAGGAGAAGCGGTCCAAGCCCAGCTGGCCCACCAGCGACAGTTTGCTTCTACCCAGCCCAACTACACCTGTGTTCCTGTTTAATTTGATATGAAAAAAAGAAGAGCCCACTTATACCACTTAATTAATCCATCGCCCATATATATTCTTAATTTCTTATTACTGTTTGTGAAGCTTGAGAGGGAAATCTATTCGTGAGTACGTTTACGTACCCGTCAAACAAATCATTGCGGTAGACCGTGTTGGTGCACCCGAAAGTGAAGCTCTGCACGGTAGCTGCATCGTTGCTGCCGAACTTGATGGTCTCGGTGCCCAGTATCCCTTTGACGTAGTTGCGGTCGGTGTCGGTGGCGCCGTACACGTACCGGTACCCGCACTCGGTGTCGCTGCACGTCGTGCGGACCTGCTCGATCCGGCAGAACCTTGCAGGCCTGGCTCGCGCACGCCAGCGGCGAGAAGCTGCTCGAATTCGCCCGGTCGTACAGCCGCGCCCCCGCCGGCGGCGCGGCGTTGTTGTTGCAGCCGCTGCATGGGGTGCACTCCACCCAGCACAGATCGCTGATGCCGAAAAGGGCCTGGACGGTCACCGGCGGCGTGCCGACGGCGAGCTCCATCACGTAGTAGAGACCAGCGATAACCTTTGATTCAAAAGAAATTCATAGGAATTTTAAAGGATTTCATTTCTATAGGAATTTTTTCTATATAGCCCTTTGAATCTAAGAAATGAATCCTATGTAATCCCATAAAATTCCTATGAAATACCTCTTCTCATGCAAGTTTTGAAGGAAATTTAGCATGAGGTTCTACCTCATGTTAAGAATCTTTTGAGTCTTTATCTCTCTCAAATTCCTATGTTTTTCTTGCGGCTCAATCAAATAGTCATTACTATACTTTTCCTGTGTTTTACAATTCTCTGTTTTACACTTATATTCCTATCAGAATCCTATGTTTTTTCTATTCCTCCGTTTTTTCATTCCTGTGATTCAAAGGTCCTTTAATTTCATGCATACCTCCCCACTTGGCAATTAGGAAAACAATAATAATTGTGTGGTGATCTTTACTGATGCAAGCTAGATAACATTTTCATGCACAAAGTCAGAACTATAGCGGTTCTCAGAATGCGTACATGCGAAGGTGTGTGCATGATATGTGCTCTGCAATTTGTTACTCTCCTCCGTTTCAAATTACTCTCAATGATTTATCCTAAGTGAAGCATCTAAATTTAGAATCCATATAGTCTAATTACACGTGGATTATATATTTATATATGAAAATATTTCCTAACCTTCTCGTAAAAAAAGACATTTAATATGTTTTGATATATCAAACTTTTAGAACCACAACCAGGGTAAATTTCCAAAATTTCGGAAATTTCGGTGACACCCGATACGATATTAATTCGGCCGAAATTTGTGAATTTTTGAATTTTTTTCATGAATTTGGATAATATTTGTTTAAATTCAACTAAATTTTGTTTAAAATTTTGGAAATTTCAGACCGAAATTTCCGAAATTTCGGGATTTCGGTGACACCCAATAGAAAACCTTGAACCGATATAGTGAACCCTGACCACAACCATCGATAATTTCTCTTGTTTGTTAGGCCAAAATTTTAATGCGGGTGGTCCAGGTCTTGGTCATTTCTAAGTCCGCTCCTGCGGCTGCCTAATTGTGCTACCGAGTTTTATCTACCACTTGACAAGATTAAGAACATACACTAGTGGAGAAATGGTTTTTATTCCCGGTTCGTAACCTATATAGTCCTGGTTTTCCAACCGGTACTACGAATCCGGGACTAAAGATCGTTATTTTTAGTCCCGGGTGAAATAACCGGGAGTAAAAATCTATTTTTAAATATATAGCCTCTTTAGTAAAGATAGAGTCAGCCTAAATCCGGTTGCTCCTTTATTCTTTTCTTTTCTTCATTGTTTTTAATATATTGATTTCACTCCATCCCGCCCCCAAAATCCCAAATCAATCATCCCCGAATTGTAAAATCTCAAATTGATTATTACCTCCAAATCCTCAAATCGATCATCTCCAAATACATCACAAAATCTTAAAAAAAAATTACATCACAACTTCTACAAAATTCATCACAAATACATCACATATTCACATCACACACAAATCAAATACATCTCAATCCGAATCACAAATCTTAAAAAAAAAGAGAAAAAAAACCTAAATCCGGCGCCTACTCCCGCTGCCGCACCGCCTGCCGCGTAGGCCGCCGCCTCGGCGTGCCGCCTGCCGCCGCGCCCCCGCGAGGCCGCCTGGCCCTCCGCGAGGCAGCCCGGTGCGCCGCCGCACGCCGCCGCTGCAGATGGGGAGGAGGGGGGAGGGAGAGGAGGAGAGGAAGATAGGAGTTAAAGGAGAGGAGAGGGAGAGGAGAAGGAGAGGAAGAGATAGTGTGTGAGGAGAGGAGGAGAGGAGTTAAAAGGAGAGGAGGAGGAGATATGTCGATCTGATCCGCGCGCACACCTCTCCGTGTATGTCGATCTTTTTTTCCGGTTGGTGTTACCAACCGGGACTACAAATAGATCTTTTAGTCAACCGGGAGTAAAGCGTATGTTAGATCTTTTTTCCCTGTTGATATTACCAACCGGGACTATAGATATATCTGTAGTCCCGGTTGGTGTTCAAAAAGTACCCCTGAGCTTTTAAATCGGGACTAAATATGTTTCTAGTCCTGATTTTTAATCCAACCGGGACAACTGTGAAATCTGATCGACCGATAAAGATGGATTTCTCCAGTAGTGATACCGAGTGTTACCAAAAAGGAAGTCCAAAAAAAATTACCATGTGCCAAGCTAATAAACTTTTTTTTTTGGGGGTGGGGCAAGCCAATAAACTTGGTTAACCTTGGGACCAATCGTTTCTACCATGATTTCTATTGGCGCGGGCGGATGGCATATGCTCTGCATGCAGTCCCCACTCTCGTCGGCTCGTCGCCTCAATTTTCCCCTCTCCAGGCGGCCACTGAGCGCGACCGTGTGCCTCTGGCTTCTTTCCACCACACGTCCCAGATGACGTCCATTGAACGCGGCAGCATGTCCTCGGTATCCTCTCGTCTCTGATTGTGTTAAAGACTAAAACTGTACCGAGAAAGAATCCATAAAAAAAATTAAAAATCACTTATGTAGAATCTATATATTTTTAATCAAAACAATATGATTTCTATTTAACCATACAAGGACGACTAAAGCAAAGAAGAGGCACCAATTCGTTTTTTATATCCATGTCGATTCCCCATCAATCAATACCTAATATGTGGTTTGCTTGTGTAGTGGTGCACATATGTGTCCTCTGTATAATAGAAAAAAATACTAGTGCAAATTAATACTTGAAGAAGAAGCTACAGTAATAAAAGTCAAGAAACAAGAATAGATGTCATTCCAAAGAAAAGATACACGAGACAGATACAAAACACACTTGAACAGTACTAGATAGAGTTTTGCAAATTGCAATTAAAATCGTACGTGCAAAAATAAGAGGACAGTATTATTTTAGCAAAACGGATTGTATATATAAACATGTACATCTATCTCAGTTGAATGAAGTACCCATCAATCAATTCTTAATGTGGTTTGCTTCTGTATGAACATATGTGTTTCTCCATATAATTGAAAATATAATACTTCGAATTAATACTTTAAGAAAAAAAGTACAAAAATACTCACTCTATTTCATGTTACAAATTGTTTTGACTTTTTTTCTAGTCAAACTTTTCTATGTATGGCTAAGTTTATAGACAAATATAGTACATTTTAAACATAAAATAAACATATTATCAAAATATATTCAATGATAGATTTAATAAAACTAATTTGGTGTTTAAAATGTTGCTAATTTTTTATAAACTTAGTTAAACTTAACAAAGTAAAAAAGTCGAAGCGACTTATAGTATAAAACAGAGGAAGTAAAAGTTAAGAAAAGAGAACATAGTTGCAGACAAAAACGATTTTTTTATCTATAATAATTAATTATCCCAAAAATTAAATATTTAGTAAATCAGGTGCGGACGCTAGAGCCAACGGCGTCCAGATGTGGACGCTGTAGCGAACGGCGTCCAGCGCAAGTCCAACCCAACATGATCAGGCTGGAGCATCTAGCCCAAGGTCAGGACTCCACGAGTTTAGGTTAACTCCCCCACAGATCGAAGCACCGAAACTAGAGTTCACAAGCTCGAGATCGAGGAGGAGGTCCCCCTTTCCCTCCACAGTGAGCAGCGCCGACAGCGAGCCGGCGAGCCTCGCCGCAACAATCGAGGCAGCGCATGACGGAGATTGAGGAGAGAAATGAGGGTGGCAGCTGTTGGTGCATTAGTCTAATCGAGTAAACCTAGACAGTTAGATTTGGGTTGGAGCTTGGGCCGCACCACTGCGATGGACACCGTTGGCTGCAGCGTCCAGAGCCGGACGCGTTTTGTCCGAGTGTCCACACCTGGACGCTCTTGCTAGCAGCGTCCTTTCCATTTTTCTAAATACCACTACTGATTTACTGGTTATTTAATTTCAGAAAAAATAATTATTACAATAAAAAATGGGGATACAAACGATAGAATTTGCAATCAAACAATAAAAAAAAGAGATCGAAATCCTGCAAAAATATGACAACACTATTTAGAAAAACTGATTGTATATATATATATACCCTCTACACCTATCTTAGTTTTTTTTTTAGGGAGGGGGGGGGGGAACGGAGATATATTACTCATTGAATGTGATGTGAAATAAAATTACAACTGTCATCCGGCCAGAACACGGTTAAAGATTCGCTTCTGCCTTTATTCGCTAAAAAATGGCTAAATCTCGATGAACTTTTGTGAGTATAGTCTCCTTTAGTTGAATTGATCTATATCTAGATGAACCCGTCAAAGAAGAAAAAACAGAAAGAAGGAAAACTATGCATGGAACGAGTCTGTCTTTTTTTGTTAGAACATTAAAGCGATTCTTAATAGCAATTTGCGAAGTTTAAATATGCAACTAGGCCGGATCATCTATGAGTTGTTGAAATGGTGTTTATAAGATCAACGAACGCTCATCGAATCAACACTGCAAGATTAAACGAAAAAGGAGATCGAGATATATACACTCGAAACATGGCGTCCACAGCTGCTATACTAGCCCTCATCCTCCTCCTCCTCCCGCCAATAGCTCTCGCCGCCGGCGACCTAAATGGCTTCCGCGCGACCCTTACTCGCATCCACCAGCTCTCGCCGGGGAAACATTCCGAAGCGGTGCGCCGCGACGGCCACCGCCTCGCATTCCTCTCCTACGCCGCCACCGCCGCAGCCGGCAAGGCTACCACCACCGGCACCAACTCGTCGTCGGTGAACGTCCAGGCGCAGCTCGAGAACGGCGCGGGAGCGTACAACATGAACATCTCCCTCGGCACGCCGCCGCTCGACTTCCCGGTCATCGTCGACACCGGCAGCAACCTCATCTGGGCGCAGTGCGCTCCGTGCACCAGATGCTTCCCTCGACCCACGCCGGCGCCGGTTCTGCAGCCGGCGAGGTCGTCCACCTTCTCCAGGCTCCCGTGCAACGGCTCCTTCTGCCAGTACCTGCCGACCTCCTCCCGGCCGCGGACGTGCAACGCCACGGCCGCCTGCGCCTACAACTACACCTACGGCAGCGGCTACACCGCCGGCTACCTCGCCACCGAGACGCTCACAGTTGGGGACGGCACGTTCCCCAAGGTCGCGTTCGGGTGCAGCACGGAGAACGGCGTGGACAACTCGTCGGGCATCGTCGGCCTCGGCCGCGGCCCGCTGTCCCTCGTGTCGCAGCTCGCCGTCGGCCGCTTCTCGTACTGCCTCCGCTCCGACATGGCCGACGGCGGCGCGAGCCCGATACTGTTCGGCTCCCTTGCCAAGCTGACCGAAGGGAGCGTCGTCCAGTCCACGCCGCTCCTCAAGAACCCTTACCTGCAACGCTCCACGCACTACTACGTCAACCTCACCGGCATCGCCGTCGACTCGACGGAGCTCCCGGTGACGGGCAGCACGTTCGGGTTCACGCAGACCGGCCTCGGCGGCGGCACGATCGTGGACTCCGGCACGACGCTCACCTACCTCGCCAAGGACGGCTACGCGATGGTGAAGCAGGCCTTCCAGTCGCAGATGGCTAACCTCAACCAGACGACGCCGGCGAGCGGCGCGCCCTACGACCTGGACCTGTGCTACAAGCCCAGCGCCGGCGGCGGCGGCAAGGCCGTGCGCGTGCCGAGGCTGGCGCTGCGGTTCGCCGGAGGAGCTAAGTACAACGTGCCGGTGCAGAACTACTTCGCCGGAGTTGAGGCGGACTCGCAGGGCCGCGTGACCGTGGCGTGCCTCCTGGTGCTCCCGGCGACGGACGACCTGCCGATCTCCATCATAGGCAACCTGATGCAGATGGACATGCACCTGCTCTACGATATCGACGGTGGGATGTTCTCCTTCGCGCCCGCGGATTGCGCCAAACTGTGATAATAATAAGCTGCATATATAATTGCGCACGTGTGCGGATGTGCCGTTTGATCTTGCTGTGTGCATCGAGGAGGACAAGGCTCTTTCTCCTGTTACATCATCCTCTGGAATATTATTTTTCAATAATGAAAATGGTTTGTATATTTCCGTTCATCACCGGTCTCTGCGTTGGTACAGAGAAAAAGGTCTTAAAGCTAGAAAAACAAAAAAGAATACGGTGATGAGGCAAACACCCAATTTCGCTAATAAGAGATTAACTGATATAACTTTTTCAAAGTCACATAAATTATACTCCCTCTGTTCAGGTTATAAGACGTTTTGACTTTGGTCAAATTCAATTGACTAAGCTTATAAATAAATATAGTAATATTTATAATACCAAATTAGGTACATTAAATCAATAATGGAATATATTTTCATAATAAATTTGTGTTGAGTTGAAAAATATTATTATTATTTTCTAAAAATATGGTCAAACTTGAAGCAGTTTGACTTTGACTAAAGTCAAAACGTATTATAACCTGAAACGGAGGAAGTAGCACATAATTTTATAGGTACTGCACCATTCAAACTAGAACAAAAGATACATGTTCCCTACCAATTGTAATGTGTAGTACCATTACGTACAATATTTTGCTATTACTTTGATAGCATCATGCATAAGGAGTGGAGCCAATTAAAACACATAGATATAGCATGCATCATGTTAGATAACTTTTTGTTGTTAAAATCTACGTCAAATTGACCAACATAAATAATAGCCCAAAATAAAATCATTTGCATTACGTACAGGATCCTCATAAAACACTCCTTATAGCCAATTACCAAAGATAACTTTTCTATTATAGGGAAGAGGGATATTAAAACAGACAACATGATAGGCAAAGAAAAAGAAAAAGAAAAAGAAAAAGATGTTCAATGGTCTTTTATGCATTATAAAAACATTACTATCCCCCCCCCCCAAAAAAAAGCACAATTTCTCTTTGCCAAGTCATCTTTTGTTAGGATTTCTTTTTTCAAGGAATCGTATAAGACTTTTATTTTTTAGTGGTAGTACCTTTTAACTCCAAAAAAAAAAAATCCTCTTACAAATTCTTACATTGAAGTTCATGCTCGCATTGTACATGGATTTGATAAAAAATATTTTTTTTATATAGAAACTAGAAAAACGGTCTTTTTATCTGTCAGGGTATGTTAACTAGTCGGTAAATCAAATCATTCCACTCAATTAGCTTATGTCCTACATTTGATCGCCCAAAAGTTATATTCATCGCTGTTGTACTCATGCATAATCTCTTCCACGTAAGAATGTTCCTTTTGAGTCACATCATAAAGAGAAGGTATCGATACTGTGTTTCAACGGTAAAGAAGAATGTTTCAACGGTGTTGTACTCATCCACTCTAGAATCCAGTTTGATATTCTGTCCTGATCGATGACGTTCTAATTGCCGTGTCCCTTGATTGAGATTGACTATGCTCTCGATTGACTTTCAGCTCTAAGTTCTAATTGAACAAGTTGTATGAAAAGAATTAATGGAAGGAGTAAGTATCGGTCTTTTTCATTGGCCTAGCTAGGAAAGAATGAGTACACGTTCCCATCTCAGGGACATATATAGCACAGAAAATGCATGTCAGTTTACAACAATCCTCTTATGACTTCTCCACTACATGGCTACCCGTGCTGGCAAATTAGTTACGCCATGCGGTGATATATATGGCCTACATTTTTATATGAAAATATTTCCTAACCTTCTCTTAAAAAAAGACATTTAATACAAGTTTTGATATATCAAACTTTTAGAACCACAACCATCGATAATTTCTCTTTTTTGTTAGGCCAAAATTTTAGTGCAGGTGGTCCAGGTCTTGAACTCTTGATCCATTTCTAGCTAGGTCCGCTCCTACGTCTGCCTAAATGTGCTACCGAGTTTTATCCACCACTTCGCAAGATTAAGAACGTACTGAGTGTTACCAAGAAAGGAAGTCCAAAAAATTACCATGTGCCAAGCCAATAAACTTGGTAACATTGGGCCCAATCGTTTCTACCGTGATTTTTGTTGGTGCGGGCGCGGATGGCATATGCTCTGCAATCCCCACTCTCACCGCCTCACTTTTCCCCTCTCCAGGCGGCCACTGAGCGCGACCGTGTGTCTCTGGCTTCATCCCAATTCAGCACACATCCTAGGTGACGTTCGACGAGCGCGGCTGCAATGTCCTCGGTTTCCTCAGGACTGGTCTCTGATTGCGTTAAAGTGTTAAAGACTAAAACTGTACCTCGAAAGAATTCATAAAAATCACAACCTATGTAGAATCTATATTTTTTTAATCAAAACAATATACGGTGACTAAAGCAAAGAAGGGGCATCCGTTACAATTTGTTTTGATATATCCATGTCGATTCCCTATCAACCGATACCTAATGTGTGGTTTGCTTGTGTAGTGGTGCACATGTGTCCTCTATATAACTAAAAAATACTAGTGCAAATTAATACTTAAAGAAGAAGCTACAGAAATAAAAGTCAAGAAAGAAGAGCAGAGGTCATTCCAAAGAAAAGATACACGAGACAGATATATACAAACACACTTGAACACTAGATAGAGTTTGCAAATTGCAATTAAAAAATTAAAAAAAGATATTGAAATTGTACGTGCAAAAATAAGACGTCACTATTTTAGCAAAACTGATAGTATATATAAACATCTACATCTATCTCAGTTGAATGGATTATTACCCATCAATCAATTCTAATGTGGTTTTCTTCTGTACGGTGCATGCACATATTTGTTTCTCCATATAATCGAAAATATACTACTTCAAATTAATAGTTTAAGAAAAATAGTATAGAAATACTCCCTTCATTTCATATTATAAATCATTTTGACTTTTTTCTATTCAAACCTTTCTGCGTTTGACTAAGTATATAGAAAAATATAGTAGCATTTTTAATATAAAACAAATATATTATCAAAATATATTCAATGCTAGATTTAATGAAACTAATTTGGTGTTTAAAATATTGCTAATTTTTTTAATAAACTTAGTCAAACTTAACAAAGTAAAAAAGTTGAAGCGACTTATAATATAAAACAGGGGAGTAAAAGTCAAGAAAAGAGAACAGAGTTACAGACAAACCCGAATTTTTATCTATAATAATTAATTATCATAAAATTAAATATTTAGTAATCAGGTGCGGATGCTAGAGCGAACATCGTCCAGATGTGGACGCTGCACTGAACGGCGTCCAGTGCAAGTCTGGCCCAACGTGATCAAGCTGGAGCATCCAGCCCTAGTCTGGACTCCATGAGTTTAGGTTAACCCCTCCACAGATCGAAGCACTGAAACTAGAGTTCACAAGCTCGGGATCGAGGAGGAGGTCCCCCTCCCCCCCCCCCCCGCCACACAGTGAGCAGCGCCGGGAGTGAGCCGGCCAGTCTCGCCGCAACGATCGAGGCAGCGTATGATAGAGATTGAGGAGAGAAATGAGGGTGGCGGCTGCTGATGAATTAGTCTGATCGAGTAAACCTAAACAGTTAGACTTGGTGGGAGCTTGGGCCGCACCAGTGCGATGGATGCCGTTGTCTGTAGCGTCTATAGCCCAACGCGTTTCGTCCGAGCGTCCACACTTGGACGCTCTAGCTAGCAGCGTCCTTCCTATTTTTGTAAATACCGCTACTGATTTAATGGTTATTTAATTTCAGAATAATTAATTATCTATTATATACTAAAAGTCCATTAAACTTTCTATAAACGCTCCCAAACCGTCATGCAGCACTCTACAAACGTCCTACGCCGCCACGTGGCGATCTAATAAATAGAGAAAATCATATAAATTCTAAGAAAAAAAAGCAAAACATCCAATTATCGATTTTTATTTAAAATGGTGGACCCGTTAATAAAGGTTTTATATTTGAAAGAAGGTTTTAAATCAAAACCAAATCAAGAAACTCCTAAAGATAGATTGTAAATGAAAATCACAAAAGAAATTAAACATAAGAGAGTTTTATGGGAGTTAATTTTTAGGGGGGTCCCTCTAATTATAATTTCCTAGGTTTACGAGGGTTAATAAGAATATAAGAACCGGCATGATGCAAGATTAGAAAATGGTTAATTTTCAGGATGTTACAGAGTATCTAAATTATTTAATAAGGGGAAGAGAGCATAGTAAGGTAAATGTTGGACAGATAATCCATTTATATCGTGGTTGGTAGCAGTGTACAGTCTTTAATCTTGTTCAGTTCGGACTTGATCAAAATTCCTGCTAAGTCCTGTCGAAATGTATTCATATCCCTCTGCATAATGTAAAGGGAGTGCATTTTAAATGGTTTTCATAATGGGAAGCATTGGTGCAAAATGTTTTCATATCCCTTTATTTGGTTGTTTTGTTTCCTCTTCTTTTCACCCCGTAATTCGTCTATGTCTGGCATGATAACTTCTTTATTCGTTTGTGCTTGAAAAGGAGGAAAGTTAGTACCATTCACATGAGCATATGTCACGATGAATTAGCATAGTACCTATTGTTTTTTTTTGTTGGTGTTTGGGTTCTGATTATGTCCTTTTTACCCCTTATTTCGTAGATGAAGTCAGTCCGATTTGTTGGTTTATATGTTCTTCCTGTAGGACCTGTAAGCCTCTTGTTGCTTTGATTGCACTGGTTACTGCTGTCCTGTTAGGTAATAATGTTCACGTTAGTATTATGATAAGTTGTTGTAACGTTAGAGAGAGAATTAAAATTCACTTTACGTTCGTTTCACAAGTCATGTTTACATTTGGGTTTATATAGGTCTCTTTGTGATGATTTGATCATATAGGCTCATAGGATCAATTTGTTCTTGTTCAACATCTTGCAATAGCGTCAATCTTTTTTTAGCGATGTTACATAAGTAATATTGATTTACAGTCTACTTTATGATATTTACCTCAAACACATGCATAGTATCTTTTCAATTTGGGCATTTTGAATCATTTTCATGCAATCTAGTATCAATGATCGCATACGTGGCCAAAAATCCATTGTGAAACCGTTGAAATTATTCTCTAAAGTTTGGATCCTTTCTTGTAGCCTTCCTTGTAAAGTGATATTGGCTGATTGTTCAGTGGATGTTATAGAGTGTACCTGAATAGCACAAGTGAGAAAAGGATGTCAAACATATTT